TAAAGCAGGGGTGCCTGTCAAATTGAAGTGTGTTGTCAGTGATGGGTTTTGTCAAGGACAGCCGCCATTGCTTTTGATAATCTCCTGCATAACTCTGAGAAACTAATGAAGTGTTTATACAATAGAGGGTGTTGTAAAGTACTGTGCAAGTCAGGACCACCCTACATTTATTGAATTTCCAAGGAAAAGGAGCTAATTTTTCAGCAGGGGGAAACAGCAGAAATTGTATGTATTTAGCAGAATATTACTCAGAAGCCTCAACTGTGGAAGTCCAGAGAGGCCATGAGCTGTTGCTGTAATTTTCTAGATTGTTATCTTGAGATAACACGTTAATTATCTCGTTATCTCAAGGCAGCAACTTTATCTCGAGATAACAAGATAATTAATTCACTATCTCAGGATAACAATCCAGAAAATCATAACTACCTCATTGCCTCTCTGGACTTCCATACTCAACATCTAATATTTTCGGGTTTCAAATCTGCAGAGATACTTTTCATGCAAGTTGAGTCTTAGAAGTTGGTTGTACATGTAGAGGGTGTTAACAATGCACTCCTAAGGATAAAGATTCCTAAATAGTTCTTGGCTTGGACGTACAGTTCTTGGAAATACTTTTGACTGCTATAGAACCGTTACAGTGTATGGAGGTTCTTTTATGGGTGTGTTCAGACTCGGCTGGTTTGGTTCGATTAAATTGAACAGCTGATGCGATTCGCAGTGTTAGTGCGGTTTGTTAGGAGAAGTGGAAACACTGCCACAAAAAAACTGGTGCGCACCAAAAACAGCCAACTCTGCAGTTAGTTTAGAATATGAGCATAATATGGACCAAAGACGTCTAAACAGACCCCAACACAGAATGAAGAGTCGTCTCCACTTTGTGGACCTTTTTTGGCACATGGAAAATATGAATGTCTGTTTTGACGTGTAAATATGTTTTATCATCTCTTCAGGAGTGCTGAATGGCTGGTTATAGAACACATAGTTTTGCTTTTAAAATGTGGTTGAGCCCTTTTCAGAGCCATGCTCACAATGCCGTAATGCACAACCTTTCATGGCAGATTGCTTTAGAATATCACAAGACACATAAAACAACCCTCAAACTCAGTTGGGCCAGTGTACAGCATGTGTGAGAACGTAATTGCAGTTATTATCGCCAAATGTGTGTCATAAAATCTGCCCATCAGTTGTGACTTTTTATCCGTGCGACTTTCTGCTTTAGTTGGAGTTACGAATATAAATGCACCCTACAGTTTGAAAAGGATCTTCACACTTGCACACCTCATTTACAAAAATGGTTCTTTTAAGGTACTTTAGGGAATCAGTAGTGGTTCTCTATTGCCAGTGGTTCTCAGATCAGTCCTCAGGGCCCTCTAGAGGGGCCCAGCTCCTGAAGCATCGGTATAGAATAACAATTTGGACAGTCTGCGAAGGCCTTGAGGACTGTTTTGCAATGCACTGTTCTATGGCACGGCACCAAAGAACCCTTTTTGGCACCTTTTATTTTTAAGAGTGCAGTTACAACGTACACCTCGACATAAATCTTGATCCGTGTCCCGTCTGGTCTGCTGGCAGTGCTAAGGCAGTTTTGGATACATTATATGGTAAAATATTTTAAACTCGAAGCGGTTGAGTCTTTCAAAGTTCAGTTTTACTAAGCTGGAAGAAATAATGAGATATTCTGACATCTCTCTCAGAAAGACATTTTTAATAGGTACAAAAGTTATAGGTGTTATAATTTGACAGCCCAGTTAATTGGCGTGTACATGCCAGTGTGGGGAAGGAGTTGTTCATGCTGCCAGAGTTACAGCATGTTGATGTGCGTGCTGCAGAGTGCACTGTGTGATAGACGTCCATACATTTGTGTGAGGACATTTCATTTGGAATTCATTTTATGCGATTTGCTTGTTTGAAATGAAAAGGTAATATGAATCTAAAACTGTATCACATGCCAGCTATTCTAAATGTTACCCAAACGTGACAACTGGTTGTATCAGCTGACGCCTGTTGCCAGCCATCTGAAGCATATTCCAATCACATAAAATACAGGTTCAATTCAGTGGATTCCAATTACAGTGAAAAAAGCTGTGACAAAACCATCTGCTGGCTTGTTTTGAGTGCAGCTTCTGGTAGAAACTTGAAGGCACTTCTCATATCACTCACCTACATGCTCACAATTTCTAATTCAGGATTCTACCAGACTGTAGCATAGGGGTACAGAAGATTAAAGAAGGTGTCTCATCAGGGAGAATTTCATTAAATTCACCAAACCGAAATAATAGCCAAAAGCAGAGGTTTGTTCCAGCAGTGTTTGGCGATTTGTCTGCTCTAGCATGCCATCTGCACCTAATAATTAACTGATGAGTTGAATCAGGTGTGTTTTAACAAGGAAACTGCTGGACTCTAGGACCAGAATTGATTACCATTGACGTAATGCACACAGATGTAATGTGACCACAGAGTGCACTGAACAAAACAGTCAAATTTGAACAGCCCTGATCAAGTTTCGTTGATTATCTAAGTAAAAAATAAATTATCCTCTGCAGACACACTTCTGCTCTTTTTAATGCAAAATAACTGTTTAACTGTGAGTTTAACAAATTAGTGGGAAACTCAGATGTGGCCTGTGCAAAAGTCATGACACATTTCATATTTTATGTTTGCAAATAAATAGAAATTGTGCAATAAAATGGACAGAAAAATGCCATATTTAAGTTTGTTTTTTAGAGGATGTGCTAACTTATTTTCATTTAGAAAATTAAGAAGACTTGAATATTTTTGGGAATTTGAGCAGGGGGTGTTCAAACTTATGTATGTGACAGTTTATGCTAATGTTTTTATTCACCTCAATTGTTTATATTATTATTATTATTATTATTATTATTATTATTATATTACAAACCAAACATATTTTCTTTTTTGTTGATTTTCTTACAGTTTAAGCAAAATTTTTTGAAATTACAGCAAAACAAACACCACAGTCTTACCCTCCTCCCCCCAACCGTCTTTTCTTTACATGTTACTCATTAAGGTAATGACTGTAGAAAAAGAAAAGATCCCTAGCTGTCTTTCCTTAATGCTTTTACAGTATGTTATCCCTGCCCCCAAATTACTTTCCTTTAAAAAAAAATAAAAATAAAAAGGTTTTTCTTTCCATTTTAGTCAAAGCCAATTCCCAGCTGCAAGCTAGGTCTCCCCCAATGCTGCTACTGATCTGGGAGGGTGAAGGCTGGCATGTGCGTCCTCAGAGACGTGTGAAGCACCATCATATCTTTTCAGATTGCCACCAACGCAATACCATTGCTCCACATGCACCGTCCTTGGCTCACATCTGGTTCACCCAGATAGAGCGAGGTGAATTATGCTGTCTTGGACTCCCAGCCACGATGGCTGTGGCATCACCGGGGATTAAACCGGCGATCTCCCAAGGATGAGGACAGTGCTTAGATGTTTTACTTTTCTGGTCTTGTTTGCCCTCATACACAAACATCCCATGTCGTTTCTTTCTTTGCACCAAGTTACTTGGAGACTTTGCAAAGCTTTAACTGTTTTCTGATGTAAGCTTTGTCCCATGATGTTGCTTATGAGAGTTCATGCAGAAGTGAATAAGTCTGCGACGTTAACCTCTGACATTTTGTGCTGGCTTCGAAACGGTGTCTGGAGGCGATCTCCAGGGGTTTTATCAATCCTTTCTACCATTGGCATTCACTGAGCTGAGCTGCTCAGAGGATTCTGCTAGGTCCGCTGACCTGGCAGACTGCTTTGAGGTGTCAGGGATTTCATCAATGTGGAGTTTGTCTAATATGGTAGAATGTCGATCTACAGCTGCTTTTTTTAAAGAAGCAAAAAGCAGCTAGAAAGTCACTGCTGCTGCTGACCACATAACCTGTGGATTTGACACCACTATAATGTTATTTTCTCACATTACAGATTGGTGGCTTGATCATGCTTGGGATGGAAGTGTTCCAAGTGCCCCAAAGTTTTTTTACAAATACAAATGAACGGTGACCTCAGTAGCTCCTATCTCACTGGTTTTATGCAATTGCGTGGAAATTTGCTCCTCAAGAATGATTGAACCCCTGTCTGTTTAGCTAGTTTACCCCCACATTCAACTCAGCGTGTTTACTTGTTGTTGGTGGATAGCTTATGATGCAGCTGCAGCAATATAATCTGTCACGGCTACTGTAATATGACTATAGCAGATCCTTTCACCCACAGAGAGAATTCTACTCGTGCCTCAGTAGAAGTGAAGGCCCCACAAATGTGGACTGTACTGATCTGGCCAATCTTTTTTTCATTAGTAAGATCTCATTTTGATCCTCCTCTAAAACGTTTCTGCACCACTGTACATCCACTGTACATGTATGACCCATATCGCAGACAAATAAACCTGACTGAAATGTGACGACCCACTGTTTCCTCCATTTCCTGTACTTTCTGAAGGGCTCTTTCTCTCCTCCTCTCGCCGGTGTGTCAGGAATGAAAGGGCTCAAATCCTCAGGAGCAGGAGGCTGTGAGAAAAGCTTTCTGTTGACTACGTAAATCTAATTTGGCAACTTTGCCAGTCTGATGGTAGCATGTCATCTCATTTTCCCCGGTTCCTGGCTGCACATCGGGGCAGCGGAGGCTTAGAAACTCAAGGTCGTCCTTGATGTAGAGAAATGTTTAGATGTTTGCGGGCAGGAATCGCTTACTCGGCTTTTCGTTTCTCGAGTTAAGCGAAAAGCGAGCCAAATACCTGTCGGAGCGAGTTTATTTTTTCTTGTCTCCTTTGTGCCAGCTTGTCCCTCCACAGTACACAAAGAAAATGAAGAAGCTGACAATGTTTAATACTCAGTGAGACACCATTAAACCAGTCTTACCTGCCTTCTGCTTTAAGGACTTAAGGGGCAGCGTTCAGAAGGCAATTTGGGTCACTTCTGTGTGGACCTTAAAAGTTTGTGGAAAGGTGAGAACGCTAATCATTGACTTGACTTTCTCTTGTTTCTTTTCTCCATTGTTAGACATGGGACGCGATGTGCTGGAGAAGTAGCTGCCATTGCCAACAATGACATCTGTGGTGTCGGGGTGGCCTACAATGCCAAGATTGGAGGTGAGTCTGCATATTTAAACTTTTTCACCACATGGTCCTCCCTGCTCCATCAGCTTCTTTCATTTCTTCCCTCGTGTCAAGCTGTTATCGTATCCGTGTGCCTCATTAACTTTAGAGCGATGATCAAATAGAAGCATTTTAGGAGTCAAATCTCTGTTCCAAAGTAAGGATGCATCTGAATTTATAGTCTAAATCATTCTAGTCATTAGTGTTAGCCTCTGCTCTGCTTCAGTAGAAGAAGTGTGAGAGTTATTATCGCAGGCCCCAGAGCTGGATCCTCAGAGCCAAAGATTTGCACATAAGCATGTGTAATCCTTTTAATTGGCGGAGACACTTTTATCCTATTCAGTGCATATTTTATCTCATTACTCCTCCATGTGTTGCCTCCTGTCTTTGGGCTTTGGAACCCAGCTAAATCCTTCGATTGTTGAAGGCTTGATAGGTGACATCCAATCCTCAGTGTTCTCTGAGGAACTGCAAGGGCAAGGGAAAAGCTGGTTAAATGTTACCCTCCATATCCTGCTTCTCAATTGTTGAAGCTTAGCAACATGATCCCTAAGCAGGTTTTGGCCAAACCCTAGTTCTTTAGGTGTGGCAAGGCACGATGAATAGGGCACAGGAACACCTGAAGTTTTTATTTATTTGACAGTGCAGGTTTGTGTTTCTTATATAATGAGGTCATTTGGGCCCCACCCTTAACGTTGACCTTTGCATTGTCCATCTTTTCTGTTTAGGATAAGGAAAAACTAACTCTGGGAAAGTTTCTTGTCTGTCTGATTTCTTTTGACATTTTCACTTCAATTTCATACTAGTATTGAATTTATCTTCCATTCATGTAAAAGTTTAGATAAGACTCAACACGTCCAACCATGTTGGATACAGCCTACTATATGTGAACTATTTGAGCAGGTAGCGCTGGTGCTATACATGTTGCAGATGTTGTCACACGAATGATTTATTAATATTTTTTTTAGCGCTGAGATAAAAAAATAAAAAACGCTTCTAAAAATGTATCAATAAGGTGTCATTTTAACTGTGAAACAACAGACGCATCATGCAAATGTGTTTGTTTTGTAAAATGTACAGATAAAATATTCTCTCAACAGTAATTCATATTGCCCAGAATGGTGTACTATTACCACTCCACCAGTATCGTTTTTGTGCGTCATTGAGCACAAAGAAAACCACATCAGCAGGAAATAGTTTATTATCTGAAGGTAATTCTCAGTTATTTAATATCTGAGTCTAAAAATCAGGCTAAAGGTAATAGATGAGCTAAAGACAGACACAGCATGGGCTGCCTCAGTTCCTGTATTTATAGATTCCTTTGCAATGACTTATTTTTTTCAGAAAGCAAACCCTGTCCTAAGTTGCTAACTAAACAACTTTTGGTCATTTTTTTGGGCATTCATTCTCTAAATGGACTACTGTTTATTTTAATGTAACATTGTAGAATCAGGACTACAGTCATGTATGAAGGCTTCATGTGCATTAGCAGAGTGGCTGTGAAACACATGTCGAGTTCTCTGAGCATGCTGCCCTTACTGGTTGAAAAAAGGCTTGCTGTCATTTTTTCCCTCTTGCTGCCCTGTAATATCCTCTTCTAATGTCCCAGTTGAGACTTTTGGCAATCATTTTCTCCCCAGAGACCATCGGGGAATATTTTGGGCCGTCCTTTGAATCTGTTTTTAGGTCATGGAGCAATTTTTTTCCCCCCTTCTGAAGCTTGTACATAACTTCTCTTTTCTCACTCACCCATAATGCGCATGGCAAAAGCTTAATGCTCTTCATGCACTCTGGGAAACATCCCAGCTCCTGCTCAATTATCCATCCCGACCTCATTTCCATGTAACGGCACTTCTTCTTGAATTAGCTTCCTATTGAGAGGCAGCGGATGCTAAGCAACCTTCCAGCATGTGGCTTCACCTTGCATCTGTAGGGGGAAAACCTCCCTTAACAAGTTTCAGAGGCATTCCCATAAGGTCGGAAGAAGAAAAGGAAGGTGAATGTGAAGAAAGGAACCAAGGAAGAACGGAAGGACTGCGATGGAAAGCTGACCCACAGCGATGGCTAAGCCTGCCCGGATCTGCCTTCTGTTAAGGGATGCCTCAGAAGCAGCAGTGGGCCATGCTCTAGTTTAGATACAGCACAGAGAGTTTACTCCACTGCCAACACTCATTAGCCAAACATATTGGCCTGGAAGGGCTTGGAGAAGAGGAAAATCCACTGTTGGAAAAGGCTTGGTAACAGATCTGACACAAGTGTTAGGCAAAATCTTCCTCTGGACAAATCCTGCAGAGGAGGATTTAGTTGTTAGACTTGTATGAGGTAGAAGTCCTGTGCTGTTATACAGTTTTTTTTTTTTTCCTTGAGCATATCTCTAATGCCTTTTTCATTTCCTGTTAAGGAGCCAAGGCCAGCTTTCTTGATGTCCTTGAGGGACTTGAAGACATTTGGAATTTATATTCAGGCTCAGACTGTCTATCCCCACTTTATTCCTTGTGGACCCTACACGACTTTCAACATACCATTTTGTTGCCTGTGATATGTTGTCTTGTTAAGGTACAAAAAGTAATTTAAGGAGTTTACATTAACCCTCTAGACTAACACTTTAGAATTCCTGGGACTTTTTAGAGTTAGAGGATTATTGAGTACTGTTTTAAACAAAACATTTTTATTATAAAACCAGGAAAAAATTATTACAAGTTGAATTCATTGTAAACATGTCACGTCTCTGATTTGAAACCCAAAGGATAGAAATCAACAGAGCTGTGAGGCCAGGGCTGATGGGATACTGTGAATTGTAATTAGAACGTTGTAAACTGCACAATAAGATGAGTTCTTTAAAATAAAGAACGGGGATGTGGAACAACAACGTTACCATCACTATTTCCTCACAATAAGGCTACATCCTTACCCATATGGCTAAAGGCTGCACATTTGGCCTAAAAATACAGCTTTAATTTAGAAAGCCTTTTTGCAAAATGGCACAATATGAGTTCGTTTAGCTTTTATTTTAGCTGCCGAATGACACTCTGTGAGGGAGCTGAGCACATCCTTATTTTCTTATGTCAGTGTGAGACTAACTGGAAAGGGATGAACAGATCACAGGTTAGCTGATCAACACACATTGGTATTAAACACTGAAATGGCTCACCAAATAACTCTGCTGAACAAGCTTTATGTTCAGATTACTTCACCCACAAAGGAGCATGAATTTGCAGCTCACTTAAAACTCAGTCTCAACAGATGTGAGCATCTCTACTTCATGGAACAAGTTTCATGAAAAGTTTCATGAATCAAAACACTGATAATATATCACAATCACATAACAGTTTCTGAGGGTTTCAGACAGGTTTTAGACAGAACAATGGACAAGCAAATATAGCGATGATTATTGGATGGTTGAAAACAAGATCCTCCTGATTGTCTTTATGAAAGCTTGGTAGTTTTTTATTTTTTCAGTTTCCTGAGCCATGACGACATATAAAGTTTCTCAAAGTTAATGTTTCTGTAACCAGCTGTGTTAAATTGCCAGCTAATGGTAACAGCTGTTTAAATGGCTTCTTGTGCCACTGTTTATTTATTTTTTTATTAATCTGCTGTCCGTGATGTACATTACTAGATTATTTATTTTCCCCTCTCTTGACACCCCCTAATTTTACACAGAGCTCAGTCTCCTTTGGGATCTTTGGGATGAACTTGCAGTGCTTCTAGGACAGGATACGCGAGGCATCGAGTGATGGCTATTTAAACATTAATTTTCAAAGGCTTAGCATGCAGAGACCGATTTAAAAGTCACATATATAATAAAGAACCATAGATGGATAAGACGGATATATAGGTATAGAAAAAGAACAGCTCTGACAGCTAGAAATTGTACACTGTCTATAAAAATGCTGCCAAAACACCATGTGGTTCACTTTATATTGTGAGAACAATACAGTTTATCAAAAAGTACAAACTACCAGTTTGACTAACTAGTGGAGTAACTGAATGTGTTGTCTGAATTGATTTAGGTAACTGTCAAGTTGCAGTGAAATTATGTGGCATGCAACTAGTTGCATGAAAGTGTTGTAATGAAAAGCCAGATTAAAGTGTTCAAACAACTTAACAGTAAGCAACACAAAGTTTGAAGCTACTGTTGGATCTACTAGCCTCCCTTCCTGGGTGCAATTCCTGGATCCATGCTGAACATGGTGTCTTTAGGATGCAGTAGAACACAGTATATTGTTGAATTGCTCAACGCGCCCCCTACAGTTCAATATGCACACATGATCCACGGTGTTACAATGTGCCTGTTATTTTCCTATAGCTTCCAACATTTGCTTATTGCTCTGCAGACTACATGCACATTGTACATTCAGATCCACAGAACATCTCTGCAGCCTATCAGAATTTCCCTGGAGCCTGTCTGCACTCTGTATGCAAATATGAGCCGGAAAAGACAAGGGGAAATAAAAACAAATGATCCCTCAGTTCCAACGGGACAGTGGCAAGTGCTACTGAGACAGAGAGAAGGCCACCGCACACCAAAATTCAGAACCTTTGTTTTTCAATGAAGGTCCACACACCAGCGCTGGCACTCCGAGTCGACATGCTGCAGTGCTCATGTCTCCAGCAGCCAGTCTTTTAGGTAAACAGACAAATGCTAATGGTAAGTTACCTCAGCTAACCTTACTGACTATTTTAGCTCATATTCAGCATGAAATCAGCAAGTTTGTGAAGAGGTAGTTAAACAGATACCAAGCGTGATAAGTGATGCTGAACGCTTTATTTCATTCAATATATACAGTATAGAGTACAAATTAACTTAAAGTTGGCTGTTATCGGCTCTCCTTGCTGCAGATCTGTAGCAGCGATATGCTACGTGATGCTATGCTGCCCGACATGGTGAGTCCGGTGTGCAGTGGCCTTTACAGTGCCCCCCCCCACACACATTTCTGCAGCAAAGTAATTCCTGAACTCACAGGGAGAAATTGAAAATGAACTGACACAGACACCCTGTCTAGCTCTCTTTAATTATTTAAAATAGTGAAGGCAAAGCACCTACAGGCTGTCGAGGCTCAGAAGCACTTTTAATTTTAATGTTTTTCTTCCCTTGATTTTATGCAGTACAGACAGAAACCAGGCATACTCAGTCATGCTGCCATTTATCTGAATGACATGTTTTTTGTATGTAGGCAAAATTGAGGTCATTATTTTTTGAGGTCATTGTTCAGGATGATGTTTTTTTTTTTCCATTTAATATGTAGATAATGAGACTGTACCGTTATCGTGGCCCAAAAGCCGTGATAAATACCGAACCATGGGCCCACTGTACCTTTGGATCCCTAGTGTCTTTCAGCATGATTGTAGTTCTTCTTCATCCCCTGAGAGATTCCTCTTACAACTTAATTGGCAGTTGCTCCTTGCTGTTCTTCCTACTTGTCCTAAAATTGTCTGTAAAGAGAAATCAGGGCTTAAATTGCATAATGTGCATTCAGCATTAGAATGCGCTTTCTACACAGCGATGACTTCTCTAATTTTGAATACGTTGCTTGGCGCTTGTTTATCACTAACTATAACTTCAAGAGCTTGTGCATCAAAGGCCAAGCAACATTGTTTTGAAGATGTCCGCCATCGATTTTCCAGCTTTCTGGCGCTTTAACTCACCTATCAGATCAAGGAGGCTGTATACAGTTTCTGCCCACGTCACATATTTGATCCTGAATCAGTTGCAATAACTCAAACACAATTGACATTTTCAGACTGAGGGATTTTGCCTCCTCTTCAAGCTTCCCGCTGGTATTAGGCTTCTTTTTGTACAGAGAAAGTGGAAACTGATAGTCACGATAGTCCACCATTGTTCTCCCTTTATAAAAGAACGCCTGGCAGTGCTGAGGAAAGCAGTTGCCTGTCACCTCCGAATGAACTCCAGATTGAGTGGAGTTCTCTTCCTCCTCTACTTCTTCTAGTTTAAAGATCCTTTACTTTATATTCTGCACAGTCTCTCCTGATGTCTTGTTTCAACGTACTGCAGCCATTTTAATCCCTTGAAGTTGAAGTAAAGTCTCCATCTGGAACCTTGTTTCATCCAACAGTGGATCCTGGGGTACTTTCTCGTTTAAGTGATTTTATGTTTCGCCCTGTCTTCCCCCCCTAGGACTGGACATATTGTAGTGGCAACTTTATCCATAAAAGTTTATGACCATGACCTGTATTCTGCGCTGTTTCAATAGCAGAGAAGATCTAGGCTATGTCTTTGTGACTGAAAACACAAGAGATGTATGAGGAATCTGATCCTACTCAGAAATTCTGTCCTTTTCTCTGGTCGCTCTTTCTTTCTTTGGGTTTTAGAATGACAATCTGTTATCACTTGGGAGCATCTCTCTTATCCCTGCAGCAGTATTTGTTTGGATATGAAAAGCAAAAGTATTGACCTGGAGACTTGTGGTTAGAATATGCGTTTAAGAGGTAAAAAGTTGTAAAAGTCGTTCCACTCCTGCACTGGTTAGCACAGACACATTCAAACATTTTGAGTAGCAGCAGATCAAAATTTTAAATATCAGCTGTGTATTTGTTTTGTTAAGGAACATTAGACAAGCAATAGCCATGTTTACATGCAACCTAATAATCCATTAATAATCCAACTACTAGCTCAGTCGCAATAGAATACATCCATGTATACACCTCAATCGGAATAGACTAGTCCAACTGAGGCCATTCGGAATCCAATTTCTAACCGATTGAATGAGGTGGTTAATCCTGTAAATAATCTGGTAAATAGAAGAATAATAACCGTGTAAATGCCTGTATCTGATTACATTCCCAATCGGAAAGTTTAAGTACGTTCTGCGCATGTGCCTCACATCATAGCGAAAGTTTATAACATTCAACATGCGGGAGGAGAAACTGGTCTGTAGAGGAGATGAAGTTTATGCTTTGAGCTTTAAAAGATGGCAGTGGGACGGGGGTGTCCAGCTTATGTGTCTCTGAACACGACATCTTCCTCTCGCCCTTCTTTAATAAGTACTTGTGAAATACGTTTTCCTGAGTCTGATATTATTTTTAAGTAATTAAGCACAAGCACAAGCGTTGCTCACTGCTGCTCGTCTCACTCTGACTGGGCTCATGTGATGCTCGTTGTCATGGTAACATCTACACTAAGTGGTACTCTGTGCATTTGCCTAGGTTTGGATCTGATTATTTGTAGTGTGCATGTAAACAGATAGAAAATAGATGATGAACCATTCTCTGTTGACAGGGATGTTGGATTTTGTGGCACATAATGTGGCCTACATTCTACATACATCCAAATTCTGCTTTTTTTTTTGTGATTTTTGTCATTTGTTTTTGGCCCAGTGTCTCCTTAATGCATCACTATTGATCATAGTACAGTACTGGCTTACAGCAGCATTAAAAATGCAGTGAAGGTGGTGATTCTCCATTGATTTTGACGATAACATTAAAATTTTTTTTAGGCGATTTTCAAATAACATCAAAAAAAGTTTTCTTCGTTCCTAAATGTGAATATATAATTATTATTATAATTCTGAATGGTATCAAAATAGTAGAATCATGGTGGAACTTGAGATTTCTTGATGCGCTGAATCTTTTCCGAACAAATCCTAATTGAATCATTGTGAGGGCAGAGGACTGTTTGTGCTACTCTGGTCTAACTGAAGCTGTTTTTCTGCAGGAGTGCGCATGTTGGATGGAGAGGTGACTGATGTGGTGGAGGCTCAGTCTCTCAGCCTAAATCCTCAGCACATCGACATCTACAGTGCCAGCTGGGGACCAGAAGATGATGGCAAGACTGTGGATGGCCCCGCAAAGCTGGCTAAAGAGGCTTTTCTACGAGGAGTGACTGAGGTGTGCCTGCTTGTTATAAATAGCCCTTTTTGAACTACAAGTAGATTTTACATAGTGGTGGGCAAAATAATTGATTCTTACATACAGTGATTTTGAATCAGTTCACAAACCATCAGATTTTTTATATAGGCTTTGCATTCCCACTGCTGTAAAGTACTCATTACACCCAGAGATTTTATAAAGTAGGATATTTAATATATATTTCTATAACAGTTAGTTCCAACGGCGCAGTCTGATTGGCGGAGAAGCATTCTACCTGTGCTGTTATTTGTGATAACAGCACGTTTTTTTTTTCCGCAGTTTATCATTCTGCTGAGCACCAGTTGCTAAGTAACGACTGCTTTGCAGCTTAAGCAAAGTCTGTTTCTACTGTGACCAACTAAACAAACCGGAATTAGCCAGAAAAAAAACAGAAAACATTTCAGCAAACAGGATGGGCTGTAAAATGCTTTACAGACTTAACTGGGATGAGACGAAGTTCACGTTAATCTGGCAAATACTGAAGTATTTATATAGCTCAGCATGCCTAATGTGACCTTTTTTTATGGCTCTGCCCTTGACAGTGTGGTAAAGTTGGCTTTGATTGGAATATTTTGACTTTCTCCTCTCAGTTTGTAGTGAAAAAAACTCCCAAAAATGATCCAACATACATGTTCTTGCTTCTGAGAAGACAGTGGATACGCTACAGGGAACTGTATTCCAAAAATGTCCGAAATTCAAAAATTTCATAAGGGTTCAGAAACGCAGAACACCAGTATTCGTTATTAAGGGACCATCTACAAACTCCGTAATGCAGACATCTTTCGTATTTTTATTTCCCATGTATAGTAGCAAAAAAAAGGCAAAACCGTATGAAATTACTTGTCAAGAGTGGCTTCCTTTAAGCTTACTACAAACCCCGTTAAAGGAAGCCACTCTCTTTAATATCAGTGATTTGATTTGAGATTTGACCTATTCATTACTGTTTGTTTTTTCGCTGAATACGTGGAACATTTGTAGTGTTTAGATGGTTCCTGAATGCTTAAAGCGTCTGTAATCTGCCCTTTTGAAACATTTGTTCAGCAATGTTTAACAATAGAAATATATTTGGGCGAATTGATCATTTTTTTGAGTGTTTATGTAATGAGAAATTGTGGAGAGAAAGTAAAATATCCAGATAATGTCCAATATAAAACCCACTTTAATATGTTGTCTTTTTTGGTGGAAGGAATTAAAGCACATTTGATATAATGTTCAGGGCTTATTTGTATTTCAATAGAAAATGTATTTAATTTACTGAATAAGATTATTACATTTATTTTTTTAGTATAACTGTTGTATAAAAGCAACAGAACACTCAAAGTTAAGTGCTATCACAAATAAATGTGTTGATAGCATCTGTGATCTAAGCCACGAGCCAAAGGCAAACATATATGCATAAATGCACAGACAATAGTGTGCAGAAGTTTGACACCTGAAAAAATTTGAATTAAAAGCAGATTATTTGTGCAGTGAACCTGTATTTGCTCAGAAAAACCAAATACAAATTAATTTAATACAATACATAGCGCTTTTACGTATGTTAATGTATTCATTTAGCCATTCAAAAAACCTCTGCTCATGGCAGCCCCCATTATATTTGTAGTTATAGATATTTGTAGATATAAACGACTTCTTGCTGCTTTTTATGTATCTATGTTTATTTTAATTTATTCTAATGATATATGGTGTTTATACTGGCAGAACCACACTTACTGCCAAGAAACATGGATAAACCAATATGCTTATGTATAAATCACAATTCAAAATACATTGAGAGTTGTTTCTAAAATTTGGCATTGTGAATCCAATCAAATCATGAGGTGCCTAGAGAGTTTCCTTTCTCTAGTGCCACCTGTTTACTGTGTTTAATACCACAGTTGCAATGCTGTAGTCTTCAGTCACCGTGAAATATAGCTACTCTTTTAAATTATTTGTACTTTTATTAACATGCTGGCCAAGTTTTTTAGTGCTATGCTGCGTTAGAGCACAGATCGGAGCTGGAAATGCTCTAACCTACTGTGACTGGTGACCATCGCTCAATTGAATTAGGTCCTAAATGCATCACTGAGCCTCATAATCTCTAACTGTTACCGGGGGAGGCATCTATCGAGGGCAGGAATGTACAGTCCAGAATGCCATGAGAGAGATTTATTTTTTTTTATTTGCTTTGAAGTCAGCGAGGGTGGCTGGGGAGGAGGGGGGATGGGGAGTGGGGGGACTTGATTCGGTTCCAGCTCCGTTAGCGAGTGCCTTGAGTCATATTAGCAGTTAGCAGTTGGAGTGACGTTCGTTTAATTTAAATGTCACATTAAAGGGTAATTTTCACAGAGAAATCTTTATGCAGATTTTCCGGAGCGTGTGTGGTGTAGACATTCTTAATGCCTAATTGCTTCACGGCCTTCGTGCTAAACTGCCATAACACGAAGAGAAGAAGAACGGCATTAATTTCAGCCTCTCTCCCTCACTCTTACACACACGCACACACTGCCATGTTGCTGGAGTAGTGAAACTGGCCTGGGGCCAGCCAGCAGACAATGGCAGACAGTAGAGCCAAGGCTTTCCCTGCTGTCTGCATTACCACACTGCAAAAGCAAAATAGCTGTTAGACTTTAACTAATGATTACAGCGGTGAATAGGAAAGACTTTAATTTACTGTAATTATAGGTGTGGTCCAATAGTCATTCATCTGTAGGGATTGGTTTGCATTCACAGAATGTACAGAATAATCTGTCTTAAACATTACGACACCTGTGTCTGCACAGAGGCTTTAACGCTAAATAAGGGGACAGTGCTTTGAAGCCCGTGTGAGGCTGCGTTAATCATGCGTGCTCGTGGGAGCCTTGTGACGCAATTTTTGACGTATGCTGAATAAAAAGATAGGTATACACATGAGGTAAATCATAACAGCAGTACTTAAATTCTTCATATTTAAAGGGACTAGCTCAGGGGTCGGCAACCCAAATGTTAAGAAGACCATTTTGTTCTTTCAACAAAAACCCACAACATGTCCATTTATTTAAGTAGCGTTTTACCACCTTGGCTGTAAATATGTCTGAGTACGTGCTAATGTCCTAGTGTAACGCTCTGCTTTAAGCTTTAGCTCAGCTATAGCCGCTTTTCTAACATCTCCAGCAGGAAACCTTTCCTTAAAAGCAGAATACTCTCTTGTAAAATGTTTCTCAACGGTCTTTTTTATTTATTTATTTATTTTATTTTTTTTACGAGGCTAAAGTCAGCTCCTCTTTCACCAACTTCTTGTTCAAATTGTCCCCATTCTACCTTACATGGTGCCTCAGGTGCCAGAATGTAACTGTGGCACCATTTAAGGTGGCACGGAAAAATTCGAATGAGAAGTGGCCGAACGAGAAGCTGACTTCAGCTTTTTAGTGTTTTGACAGTTTCTCGCAGATTAAACATATCACGAAACCAGTTGGAGTGATTGTATATGCAAATAAGCCCGTTCATCTCTAAATTATCGATCTTCATCTTAAGTCTTTCTCTTTGCCTTTTTGTTAGCTACTAGCTAGGCGAGATTGTTGTCTGCGTTGTTATGGAGACCAGCAGTCTGTGCATTGTGTGTTAACTCCGTATTAACTCCAGTGTTTAAAACCATTTATTGTTAAAACTGTGTTAGAACAATCAGCAGAGCTTTTTTTACTGCAAAGGAGGATTATTTTATTTTTACCTAAAAATTCTGCCGTGGAGCCGCAACAGGACAGTACAAGAGCTGCATGTTGCTGACCCCTGGTCTAGATCATATGTTTTTGTATTTTATTTTTTCCCCAGAGGTCTGCTTATAACGGTTGTGTGGTTGTATGTACCAAAAACTGTACCAAAAAAATTTTATCCATTTTCCAGTATCTCTTCAGATTTAAAAAGGCTTTCATTTGTCTTTCTGAGACAGCTATATTTAATATATATATATATATATATATATATATATATATATATATCAGAATTTAAGTATGAATGGGCGGAGCTAAACTGCTGTAGGTTGAATAGGTGGATAAATATAAATGTGTTGTTTGCATCACAAATGACACAAAAACGAATTTAAAACAAGATGTTTTTGCAACTTAGTTTTCATGTTTGGACTGTATGGACTGCTGGACCGTTTTTTTGAAACTTAAACAGTGAGTACATACTACGTCTACCACTTTGCTTCAAAAAACTGAGGAAAAGTATTTTTTTCATGATATAGACCCTGTAAACCAAACTGAAAAGTAAGAAAATGCTAGTTTCAGTCTCATAGCTGAAACTGTTTTCCTTACAGTTGAATTTGAGGCAAAAACAGTTATTCTAAAACTGGATTTGGGTTTAAATTGGCCACAGCAAATGGAATTGAGCTCCGGTGCTGTAATATGTTGGAAATGTAAGTTGTTTTGAATGCAGTCTTTGTGAAATCTATTTAATTATCTAGTATGACAAACCACACTTTAACCACACTTTTAACTAGTTTTTGTAAATGTGTTTTCACAAAATTTGTCAGCTAATTATCAACCGTTTAACTTACTGTTTCGCCAAGTGACTGTTGGTTAATGCACTCAAAGGCACACATTTGTGCCTTGGCACAGGCATGAACCATTTCATGAGTTTTCTGGGTAAAGTTTTTCTGCCCTCAGTCTTCTAAAAACAGGAGGCAGCTGCTGTAAGCATACAGCTAAAATAGACAGGAAGGGTTCTTGACCTTCGATAGGTAGCATTATTGTTTGCAACAGTTAATTTTGCTAGTTTAAAGGATTTAGTGTGACTCATCTTTGTCAAAGAATCGGATGAAATTTTAAAATGCCAAAATTAACAAAACTAAATTAACCCCATAAATGGCCAGGGCCCACTGGCAGGCCCAAAGTTTTACTGCACACTTCTATAACCTAAGAACAGCTCAGCCAGTTTGTACTGAAGTCCCTGTAGTTACTAAGTAATAAACTTTAGTATGTAATAAGCCTGGGATTTTAAGGGGGTAATTAACTTAAGCCATTAAAACAGAAGAAGAAAGTCTGTTAGATTTAATCACAGGTTCATTATGTTAATTCTGAGAACTCCATGGAAACGAAAAGGCTATGGGGATAAAAGTTACCCTACCTCAAAAGTCCCAATTTAACCCCTGGATATGTATAATATTGTTGTAACATTAGTTTAGTACAGTTTTGATTTAAAACAGAGGAAAATGAGATTCATATGATTTCAAGAACTTAAAGCTTTGTTTTTAATACACCCTTGTTTGGTATAAAAACAACTCCCAATTACATCATTATGGGTGGTCCTCTCACCACTTTTGTTCTTTTGAAGTCCAAATGTTCATTGTTCACTAGTGGCCTCATTATTTCCCTTATTCACAAGGTGGGCCTTCCATCTATCAGCTGTGCATCATTCCTTTCAGAGCTCTGGCACAGCTTTTTCTCCGGCTTTTAATCCAACCTGCGAGTGTTCTCTGCTGGTCAGATCTCGAATGCCGGGCTGTGCCAGCAGTCAGATCTGTTTCAGGAAATGAGATCTATGTTGCAGAGTAAATCCTAAAGCAAACAAAGCTGGAGGCTGTGCAAACACATGTGAGTGGATGCCCGCAGTCCAGCAGGTGTGTACATGGACAAAGAAGCTACATCTCAAAGACCACGCTGAACTTTCCCTGCATTAGGCGTTCGTTTTTGTGGCACGCTCTGTTTTCCCTATGGCCGTTTTATTGCCTTATTGTTAAGAATAGGGGGTACAGTGGAGGGCTGCGCAAACAAAGCCTGATCAAAGGTAACGAGCAAACAGCATCTGAATTGAGTTATTGGCGCCGCCGGCCTCTCCCCGCAACAGCGGGCCGAAATGAAATCCATGTGGGTTATTAAAACACACCCCGCTAACATGCTGCATGAATCTTTTCCAGTCGCCTTATCATTTTGGACAGTCATTCGGCAATGATGTAGCCCACAAAAGTTTGTTGGAGTTTTTTAAATTTAAAGGATATGAAAAGGCATGATTAATGGACCTGAGAAAATTGGCATCATCCTGCAAAGTCTTGTTTAAAACTGTCTGGCCGTTCTGTTCAGTTAGTGATAGCATTTCAATGGCCTGAGACGCTGGGAGCTAAAAGCTGATTTCAAAACAGCATCCGGCCCAGACTGTAGTCGATGTCCTCCAGAAACGCTGCTGTGTTCTTAGTGTTTCTCTGCGAGTTTGAGCCCCAAGTGTTTGATGGTATTAAGGCGCTCGCTCAGAACCAGATGTTGATAGTTTGCTGCCAAGTCTCAGTGGTCTTCCACAGGGGGCTCTGGAGAGGGGCTTTGCAGACAAGAAACATAAAAGGTAGTGGTGTTGACACTCTCCCTCTGTATATGTGCTTTGCCCTTTTGTCATCCAGGGTCGCGGCGGACTCGGCTCCATCTTCGTCTGGGCATCAGGTAACGGCGGGCGAGAGAAGGACAGCTGCAACTGTGATGGCTACACCAACAGCATCTACACTCTGTCCATTAGCAGCAGCACGCAGTACGGGAACGTGCCGTGGTACAGTGAGGCCTGCTCCTCCACCCTCGCCACCACCTACAGCAGTGGAGGACTCAACGAGAAACAGATTGTGAGTCTGCCTTACTGCACTGAACAGCTCCCATTTCTTAAAGCAGTGGCTCAGCCAGAAATCCAATTTGCACAATTTTTCCCCTTACCCCAAATGTAATCAGTCAGCCAAGATGCGGCTGTTGTCTTAAGTTTGCTTTTTTTTTTAGTTTTGTACTGGCTAATTTACCTAACAAGCAATAGGAGCTTATCAGTTTGTACTAGTTAGCCACCAGTTTAGTGTTGTCTACTAGTTCAGCATTGTATGGACTGCACACTTGCCTCACTTGTTCTTAAAGCCACACTGTGGCCAAAATGAAAACTTTTAACCATCGCTACATCTGTTATTAGCATGCCTACTCATCAAACAGTGCTGCTGTAGTGTCTAGAGATTTTCTGGTTTAGAGACTAGCAAAACTCCCTTTTGTTGATGTATCTTGAAGGTGGGACAAGCCTTTGCTTTTGAAAATGTACAACCACTTTGGGGTGAAATTGTTTTTGGCAGATGGTTATCGTTTATGCTTGGAAGCCATACAGCTGAGGTAATATTATTATAATGAAGAGAATGGATTACTTAAATGATAGAAATGACTCCTCAGATGAGGAGGACGACAGACTAAAAGCTTAATTTAGCAAAACTGGAAGGCCTCTATATATCCCAGTACCATTTCGACATATCTCAATTCGCTTTCTTTTATCTTGCTTAAAGGATAAAAACTGGTGTCCGTTTTATGCTGAATTAAGATAAAATTGTAAAGAAAACAGCAATTTTATTTGACAACTGAGGTAAGCATCACACTTGTAATAGCTTGACTGTAGTTGACACCACAGGGATTCCCAGTGGTTGTATGATGTATTTGTGAAATGCATGCCCAGAATTGTAGTGGGAGAACACTGATAAACATGAACAAGATAAAATGAAAAATTCTGTCAAGCTTGAGGCTGAAAGATTCAGTGCTAAAGATTACTGTATAAGACAAAGAACATGAACTCCAGAATAGCTTTAAATAATCTTAAATAGACTTATTGTACATATCTATAGATGTAAGACTTTTATAAGATATTGTTACGTTACCTATATGAGCCTTGTAGCTACAATGCCCAAAAAAAAAAACAAAAATTCAACTCCAGACACCAGACATGTTTTAGCTCACTGACTACATTTAGACAAATGGGGATATGGTGAAAATTAAGCATCACTTTAAATGAGGGGGGAAAAATGCTAAACTGCCCACAGAGTAACCACAGCAGCCCGCTAAACGAAGGCCACTTCTGATCACACTCCTGTTTTTGACGTCCTTGCATTCTTTAAGGCTCTAGTGATAGAAACCACATGTAATTGCGTGGTTTAGCAGGTCCAAATGGTAATATGTGGACCATGGGGCAAAGTTACAGAGGCCCTTGCTTTGAGGCTCTGAAAAAATGGCCGGTATTTGAGCACAGAGGTCCCACAGGGGTTTGAGGGTGGACCGCGGCACGCTGAGAACCGATGAGGAAAGCATGTGATGTGTGGCCCTCCGTTGGAGGAGAGTGCATGCATTCGCCCTGAGGGTCTGTATTGTGTTTCATAACGCTGTATCCCCCGCCAAAGCACTTTTCCAGACCATCCAGCCTTGTCTTCGGTGTGCAGGCTGATGCTTTGTACATGACTGCAAGTCTGCGTTTCGAGTCAAAGCAGTAACCTCATACCATTACAGCGCGTTTAGCGCAGTCATTCCTTTGCGCTTGTTTCTAGCTTCATTTGTTGGAGCTTTACTCTGCCAGAAAGACGAGCTCAAATATTTTCCCATAGTCCTCGCCGGCTCAGAGAGTTATGTTTTTCAAAAAAGTCACAGATTTTAAAAATTCATTTTGCAGCATCTGTTGCTCAACATGAGCTGATGTTTCTAGGCAGTACGAGTAATGACAGGCAATCTTCCTTTCTCGCGTGCTCACTGACGCCCCATTTGAATGGGGAAGAGTGAATGGCTGTGCACTCATCTCCTGGCTGTCACGTTTTCACATAGCTGTTTGGCCATTTTTGGCACTTAGCCTCAACCAAGGCAGCTCTGTCTCAGCCACTGCACATCCCAGAATGCCTCTGTCTTTCACCCTGTTTCACTCTCTCTGTCATCATATTCTCTCTCTCTCTCTCTCGACTCTTTTCTTTCTATTATTTCAGACCTAAGGGCTAATCAGTGCCCCCCCACACACACACACAAATAAATAAATAAATAAAAAAATCATCACAGTCAACTCAAATCCTGAGTTTGCACAAGCTGTGATATATTTGGGAAGCAGTCAGAGCAGAGGTCCTGCATAACAACTTTTCTGAAACCCTTACGGACTTCATTTGAATCATCCCAGCCTCTGGTCAAGTTTCTGGAATGCTTCCAGTCAGTTTCTTAGATACTACAGGCAGAAAGTTCTCTAACTCTTCTCTCCCACCAACAGATCACTACAGATCTCAGACAGAAGTGCACAGACTCTCACACAGGCACCTCGGCTTCAGCTCCTCTGGCTGCAGGCATCATCGCCCTCGCCCTTGAGGCCAAGTAAGTCTAAACCTCATGAATCATATCTGTACTTCATGTATTGCTATGAACCAGGGGTCGGCAACATGCGGCTCTTTTACTGCCCTTAAATATCCTCCTTTGCAGTAAAGTAAACCTCGGCTGATCGTTCTAACACAGTTTTAACAATAAATGATCTTAAACATTGGAGTTAATGTATAACTGCTTGTTGCCGACCCCTGATATAAAGGTGGGTGAATATATACTCACTAACCACTTTATTAGGTACACCTTGCTTTTATTTGCACTCATCGTCCATTTTATCAGCTACACTTACCATAAAGGGTGCACTTTGTAGTTTTACAATTTAAAATTTTGAAAATAAATATTTGCGAATAATAGTGTAACAGTTAAATATGATGGAATACACATTTTTTATTTCGCTAATAAATATGGTATTAATCACAATATAACATTGATATTACTTGTATGTGCCCATGCCCATCAGCTTGTATTTTGGCCCATGCCCATTAGCTTGTATTTTGTCTTTTTTTCCCTAAAAAGGGAATATAAAGTGTTTTCTAATGAAAACCTTCAATTGCAGATTGTAATCCATCTAGGGTTAAGTTTATTGTTCCTTTTACCCTGATCATCAGTGGTCACCACTGAATGGGTGTTATTTGGATGGGTAACAGTGAGTTGTTATAGCCGATGGTTATGCGTATCTGCTAAAGCTGATGGGTTTAATTCTGACCTGTAAAGAAGACAGTGTTGGTTGTAAATTGCACTTGAGTTGCATAGTGTAAAGCATCTTACAACTCATTGGAAACTCAGCTGCAATGCTTGCAAGTGTCTCAGCTTCGGGGAACAAGTACTGTAAAACATAGTCAGAACATTACATGATCACGTTGAACGACATACTTTCAAACCATTGATTTCACTGGATCAGTTGAAAGGAAAATAAAGCAGAAGTTTATTGGGTGGTTATTTGTCTCTAGCCTGCTGTTATTGTGATTTATGAAGCTAGGTTCAGTTTCTCCTCTTTTGGTGTCCACTAAATTTACACAGAGCTCAGATTCATTTGGGATCCAAAGAATGGAAAGTATTACAGAAGAGGAGACAGAAATGCGGACAGGATGAGCGAGACATCAAAAAAGGCTATAACTGTAATGGAGGCTTAAAGGAACAATATGTAATATTTACTGTACCAAATCATAAAATGACCATGATGTGTCATCAGAGATTAAGGAAACATGCTAAGTTGAAATACTGGCTTCTCGGACAACAGAACTACAGCCAGTATGTTCTCCTTTGAAATTTCTGTTCCGGAGTGGAAAGTCTGTTTTTGTTTTGGCATGTGATTCTGCCCACTGCCCGTTTCCCAGTACCATTTCGACACCCCGGGTTGTCAGATATGAAACAAATTGGCAGGCAGACACAGCGTGCTGCAGCCATGGAGGCAAGCAAACCAACTGGATCCCGACCTAAAAAGCTTCAGCATCCTTCTAAAAAGCTCCGTAGCCAGAGTCGTAGTAAAACGCGAGTAAATATTGATGAAGCATTTGAAAGATGGAAAGAAGCTGATGAATAAGAAGCTGCTTTCAGGCAGCAAGTATTTTCAGAGCAGTTGGCTTTTGTTATCTGGATAATGGGCTTAGCTTTGGCTACCGTACATAGCCAGCCATGCATCTAGCTAACATTGACATTAACATTGACGAGTTATTAAAAAATCCACATGAGCTAGTTTATAATTTGCATACAAAAAAGCTTCGAGTCTGGGAAGGAGGAGGTGGGGGCAGACGACTCTCTCCAGTATTTTGAATTTGGACTGTAGTACCCATTTTAAACGCTTGCTGTCAGTATTACACATTGTTCCTTTAAACATTACTTTTCAAAGCCTCAAAGTAAAAAAATATATCTCTGCAGTCATTTCATGAACATTTTCATCATATAATAATGAAAATATCATGATCCTGCTGTGTTTAAAGCAGAAACCTTCGCTTTGTACGCAGTTTTTGCTCACCAAATTACGGCCTCAACAATAATGCTAATTTCTGCTCGCATCTCAATGAGATTTCCTGGATTGTGTTAGCATCAAACTAACTGTACCACATGTTAGTTTTACCACGCTTGGTTTAATACTGCTTAAGGCAGATCTGCCAAGATCATGGCCATTTTAAGCATATACGACATTCAAGTAACATAGTTTTTACTTTTTATGTTGCGGTATTACAGTGTGTTATTCAGCAAATGCTTCAATTCAAAGACTAACACTGCATAGTAATGGAGGAGCGTTTTGGCCTTTTAGCCTTCTTTTAGCCTGTTTAGCTTGCTATATTTTAGCCTAGTTAAAAAAAATAAATTCTCAGCCCCTCAGTTTGAATAAAACCAGCTTCTTTCTTCAATTATCAGTACGCTCTGTGGTCCATGCGAGCAGCATACCCAGTTCATTCACAGCATAATGATTTTTGTGACTTAGAATCACAGTAAGAAACAATAGTTATTTTATAAATGGATGGACTATTAGTACAGATACAAGGTAAGTGTACCTAATAAAGTGGCCAGTGAGTGTATATTATATTATTTTTTTTTAAACAGAGGTCAGACTGGGCCAGAAGGCAGGTTTCATCAGAAATTACTGAGCATTTGACCAGAGGCTATTGCTAACAGCATTTTCCAAAACATGTTGAGTTGTGCTGACTTTTCTAGTATTATATGGTGAGACGCTCTGCAGACAGTTTCAAGGTGAGGTAGTAGACCACCTAGATGAGCCCTAAATTATTAATGTGGTTTGCTGGGATGCTGAAGGAAGAAGTCATTGGCATGTGTTCTTTTCAATGTGAGCCATTTCATAGAGCTTCTGACTGGCTCTGTTAGTTTCCTTCCATTAAATCTGCACACAAAGCAGCAAAATAACCTTAATGCCAATTTCTTGCCTGTGGTTGGAGCTGACCTTTACCAAAGAACAGGTCCTGATGACCTAACCGAACAGAAATCCATGCCTGACACCTTGCGCTGAAACTTCGTGCAGACAGCACCTTAACAGGATTAAATGAAAGCTCTGTGGGGGAAGTGTTCTGAACATGTCATCTGTTTTGGCAGCAAAAACCTGACGTGGAGAGATATGCAGCACCTGGTTGTGAGAACCTCTAACCCAGCCCACCTGATCACCAACGACTGGAGAACCAATGGGGTTGGCCGTCAAGGTACCGACAGCTGGCCTCACACTTTTCTGTCCATCTTATGTGTTCTTCAGCCACTGTCTGAGCCTCTGAGACTTTTGTGCTGATTGATTATGCCTGCATAATGGTCACATAAATGTGAATCCGAAATGCATAAACCATCTCCCTCGATTTCCCCGCTGTCTCAGACTGTCACCATGTGCTTTGACTTCTATTAAGCTGAAGCTCCTGTCATTGCCTGATTGCTTTCAGCAGTATTGATTCTCTCTCTCTCTCTCTCTCTCTCTCTCTCTCTCTCTCTCTCTCTCTCTCTCTCTCTCTCTCTCTCTATTTTTTTACACTCTTGTCTCATTCTCTCATGCTCTTTTCTCTTTCTTTTATTTCTGTATTAATTTTCTTTCTCATTCTTTCTTTCTCTCCCTTTTTTCTTTCATGTTTCTGTTTTTTTCCTTTCTTTTTCTTTCTTTCTTTCTTTCATTCTTTCTTTCTTTTTTACAATCTTCTCTCACTCATGTTCTTTTCTCTTCTTTCATTCTTTTTCTTTTTCATCGTTATTTCCTTCTCATCTTTCTCATTCTTTGTTTCTCTCTCTTCCACTTCTTTCCTTTTTTTATTCTTTAATATCTCTTTCTCTTATTCTTGCACTCTCTTTTACTTTATTCTTTCCGTTTTTTTACTCTATTCTCTCATTCTCTCATGCTCTTTTCTCTTCTTTCTTTTCTTTTAATCTTTATTTCCTTGTTTTCTTTCTCATGCTTGCTGTCTGTCTCTCTCTTCCCCTTCTTCCCCTTCTTCCCTTTTCTTTCTCTTTCTCTCATTCTTTTTTTTGTCTTTTTTCTCTTTCTGACACTTTCTCTCCTTCTCTCTCTCTCCCTCCCTCCCTTCGGTTCTTTCTCCTCTTCTTTCCGTTTTTCTTTCTTTTACACTCTTTTCTCTCATTCTCTTGTGCTCTTTTCTTTCATTCATTATTTTTCTTTGTGTCTCTTTTTCCTTCTTTTCTTTCTCATTCTTTCTGTTTCTCTATCTCTTCCTCTTCTTTCCTTTTCTTTCTCTTTTGCATGTTCCTCCCATTCTTTTTCTTTCTTTCTTCCTCTCTCTCTCTCTCTCTCTCTCTCTCTCTCTCTCTCTCTCTCTCTCTCTCTCTCTCTCTCTCTCTAGTAAGCCACTCATACGGATATGGCTTGCTGGATGCTGCTGCCATTGTGTCTCTGGCCAAGAACTGGACCAATGTTGGCCCTCAGCAGAAATGCGTCCTCTCCTTAGTGTCTGAGCCCAGGTGAGCAATAAAACTTCATCTAGCATCGCTAATTGTAAATGAAAGCTAGCCAGGTCCTGTTAGCATTATGCACATACTATCACTCCTAACTGGCTTTTATTCATTGTTAAGCCCTGTTTTTGGGTGAAGGTATTCCTTTAGATTGCTGTCTGTACTAACATGTGGCTAACAGGCTCTCCCTGCGGTGCATTACAAAATGATGTTTGAGATTCTGTGTGAATCTGCCCTTGGGGAGGCTGGGGATTGTGCATGAGGAGTCAGGCTGTAATGGGAAGTGAGCAGTGTATTCACCAGTGACGGCGCACCGTGTTTGATAGCCCATCGCATTTGCAGTCAGAGGGAGCGAAGATTGAAACGCTCGACTTGGTTTGATGTTCTGTCATGAGGGAGGGGTAAGGGGGATCGTCTCTGCCACCCGTGGTGCATGTCTGAAGGAAATAATTACTTGCAGATGAGCCTGTACACCGCACTCATGTCTCTGCTGACAACTACAAACCCCATCCCTCTCTGTGTACGCTAGGCCGTACACAAACCCACTTCATCTATGCAGAGCTCCTCCTCTCTTTACCCTCAAATCCCTTTGGTTTTTACATGTTATGGAAAAGATCAGAGCTTTGGAGCCAAGCCCAGTTTAGCATGCTGGTCGGAATAGGGCTTTAATTGGGCCTGAAATTTTGAACCAAATCCGAAAGACCCTTGTGCCATCCAACCCGATCCACAACACCAAGCTTTGAATCCAAACCTGATTAAAGCCTGACAAAAATCTCTTTGAGCCCAGCTAAAATAAATGAAATAAAAATAAATAAATAAAAGTATATGTCATGGTCTCCGTTAAGTTAATTTACCAGCAATGACTGCTATCAGCATATCATTGGTAAGCAAGATTAAAACTAATTGCCTGATGATCAACATTGTCATGTAAATCTATTTTAGTAGACCCCAAAACTAAAATTATGGACATGAGCGTAATAGGTCCCCTTTAAGATAATATAATCACTACAACATGCAGGGGATGGTGCTCCAAATAGCAGAATTAACAACCCTGGTTCAGTCCTGTTGGGTTTGGACCAGCATTTCAATATTCACAACTCTCAACTTAATGGTACCATGACTTTACATCAGTCTTTTGCTCTTGACATCAAACCCTGCCTTTAGACTGCACATTCTGCACCACCCTTAGCCAGACTCACAGTATGTGCAGAGTTCTTCTATCAGTCTCCCTTCATCTTCACAGACTTACTGTAAACAGGCACCTGTGTCCATAGCTTTGTGTTAAGCCCTTCTCCCACCTTCTAGTTCATGAATAGGACTGGACTGTACTAAGCTTCTTACAGGATTTGGCATGAAGTAAGGACACATACCACAACCTAAGCTACTGAGAAAAGGGTCTGTATGAGCACTCTCCCTGCTTGCTGAGAGTGTGTCAGCCACTCGTGGTCTTATCTTAACAAATGTAAATGTTTATCACACTGTGTCTCTTGCTAAGCTGTTCGGAGGCCACCTGAGATTTCGCGTGTGTGCCGACCTTGTGCAGTCACGCCTGTTTTGGCAAGCTATTGTCTAGGCCAGGGTCTCCAAGTGAACCGCTTTTCTGCACATTTGAGCATTATTCACTATTCCCAATACACCTGACTCAACTCATCAACTAATTAACGAGCTTTGTGAGTTTAAGAATGTGTTAAAGCATGCATACAAGTGTAGCGTAGGGATATCCTAGCACCTATCTCAAGACGCTGGCAAATACGTGAAGCAGTTGGTGGTCCTGCAGGAGGCGGTTTAAAAACCCTGCTGATAACTGGGACAGTTAACAGTTACGCTTAGGTTGTGCGCCAGCCTTGTTATTTAGTGTTCCAGAAGTAAATTCAGGATGGGGAAATTGTTTCTGTGCCATGCCCAAAGAATACATACTGCTTTAACTCCTTAAATCTTGAGGATCTGCTGGCAACACTCTTATGTAACTTGAGAATAACTCAACCAGTTTGCATTGTGATCTGTGTTCCTACTGAATAATAAGCCTTAGACTGTAGGGCTGCAAAAACAACTATTTTGATATTCAGTAATTCATATGAGTTAATGGTAACCCTTCTTATGAATCCTGGATTCCTAATGCATCATAAATGCATTTATAAGGTGTTATATGGCACACATACCACCTTACAGTGCCTGGCATAAGTTTGTGTAATTGCTAATAACTAGTTATAGTCATTGGTTTACCCCAAATATAGATGATTAGTCAACACACGTTTGTTTGAAGTTTGCTTTTTTTATTTAACACTGGAGGTTAAGGTAGCTAACAAGTAATGGAAGCTTCTAGCCACCAGTTATCAGCGTGTCTAAATCACAAACAGTTTAATTCTATGTGATAAAGAGTGATTCTGAAATGACCATGTAAAAGTTAAATGAGATACATAAAATCACATAAACATCATAGGTGTTCCTTAGGGGGAAAAATAAAACATAAGAAAAATGTAGGACATGGGCTCTTTCAATCCAGATGATGCCACAGCCACCCGTCAGTGCTGCTGCTCTCTGAGTGGGAAAGACTACTTCGTTTTTCTTTTTCGTGGATCCACAGCATAGCTGGCCACTTATGGGTTCCCGCCAGCTCACATACCCAGTTTGGGAAGTCTGTACTCAAAGCAATTGAGTTGCCATACCATGTAGCATGTGCCGCAGTTTTTTGAAATGTGCTGTGGACAATTTCCTGTGTGTTGAGAAGCATGAACTTACCTTTATGCATGCAGATTGTTTGGTGCTATATGATTGATTCAGCCATCAGGTAGGAATTGGTAACATTAGGGAGATAATTGGGCAGAAAAATTTAAATAATGGTGTATGTGTGCTACACATTTATGTCAGTGCTGAACTGTTTGCTCAAAGACTTTTTTGCCCTCAGATAACTGCCAAAGTTTTCAGTTAAGCTCTCTTTTTCCACCGGAAACGGAAGCTGCCAGAGCAGGAAACATGACTTTGTATTGTTCCTCAGAATTAATAATGCACATGATTTTTGCCTGTGCTCAGCTCATTGACATCATTCCTCCACTGAGGGATGCTAACATCTTTTAAAATATGAAACTGTAAGTGTCAAGTGGAAGAAACTTCAGATGTGAGGGGAACCCTCTAACACATCTGCAGATATGAAAATTAAGTTTTTATTTTTTGTATGTCGATCGGTTGAAACAAGTGCAAAAAAGTGACTTCAGTCAACTGTAGAGCAGCGACTTCTGGGAGTCTTCACATGACTTATTGTATGCTAATTAAGACCAGATTATGATGCAGATCTGTGAAAATTGCAAACAGTATTGCTTCTTAGTGTGGATAAGTGCATCCCCTCACTGCTCAGAGCACATTTCAGACTGAGCTTAATTGGAGAATGCCATCATCTGTGTGTTATCTTACTTTCAGGAACATTGGTAACCACCTGGTGATCTCCAAGAGCGTGGATGCGTGTGCAGGAAAGCCCAACTTTGTGAGCTCTCTGGAGCATGCTCAGGCACGGCTCACGCTGTCCTACAACCGGCGAGGAAATCTGGCCATCTACCTGATCAGCCCACAGGGCACCCGGTCCACTCTGCTTGCTCCCAGGTTAGGGGACACCACATGTCTGTGCTCTGTCTGTTTTATCTGAAATTAGTAGGGATGGGAGAAAAACATTGATGCAACATAGTATTGTGATGCTTTGGGTGGGGGGAAAAAGTAGTATCAATACATGGGCATCCAGGTAGTAATATTTTACCAAGTTTACATGAGTTTTATATTTTCATTTTCACTGTGTATTAAGCCTATTTGTAGACAAGTAGGATGCCTAAATTAAATGTTTTCTAAATCCACACGATGGCAGTGAAGATGGACTTCTCATTCATTCATTCATTCACATTGTCACTCATTTATTTATTTATTTATTAAAGCTGGCAAGCAAGTAAAAGAGTGTGGACTTTGCTTAATTGTTGTGTGAGCAGTACAGATTTACTTGGTTTAGTAAACAGGTAAAGTTTAATGTCTTTTTTCTTTCAGACCTCATGACTACTCCTCTGAAGGCTTCAACGACTGGGCCTTCATGACCACCCACTCTTGGGATGAGGACCCTCGTGGCGAGTGGACCCTGGAGATTGAAAATGTGGCTGGAGCCAGCGACTACGGTAACTCAGACGTTCACTTTTATACTGCCGTGCTCCAGAATAGCCTTCCCCTCCAAAATATCCTCAGCCACCCTTTGTTTTATGCAGTGATTTATGCATGAGGAGCGCAGGCCAGGCACTTCGGCTGAAGTGATAAGCCTTGCTTCTGGCTTTCCACAGTGCTGCATCTCTGCGCACTCTGCAATTGTAACTAGCTGAACTTAGTGAAGTGCTCCACATTTTTACATAAACAAGAGAAATGCAGGTTTTTCTGTATTTTTTTCATGGTCAGTGGCCTTTGTGTGAATGTTAATTTCATATTTTGCAAGGCATAGATGTCTAAAAGATGAACTGATTTATTAGGAAAAATGGCATTCTGTTATGTAGTATTGATTTTAAAAAAGGGCCTAAATACCAAAATTCACTACTAACAACATTAGTTATTATCATTAATTTGATGTGCATTTGACCATTTCTGCTGTAAAGCTTTTTTTTCTGCTTGCTGAGTGCTTTTTTCCCCACCCAAAGTTTAATATTCCTCCTGTTCACTGAGTGAAAAAGCATGTTATTGCTTAAATCTGAAGTCTTCGGAATGCAATCAAATGAAAAACTGTCAGATTTTCATTTGCTTGCAGGGATTTGTTAATTGTTGCTGTGACTCTCTTTGTTGCTAAGACTCTCTTTAACTGGTTTACGTTTGAAATTTTCTGTAATTGGACTGAAGTGAGAACAGCTAATAGACTAACAGGCAGGTTCAGTGGCCAAGGCAAGTTTTTTGTGTAGCGCATTTTATACACAAAGGCAGTTCAATGTGCTTTACATAAATAAAAACGGGAAGGAAAATCAAAAGTAAAAATAAAGGCAAAATGCTTGACTAAAAATCAAGATGCTAAAAAGATACAGAGTGCAATAAAGAAATAGTGTTTAAAGAAATTAAAGACAATTAAAAGGAGAAACAAAGTACATAAAAGCAAAAATAAATAGGCTTCAAATTTAGACCTTTACAGAAGAAGTCATGGTGAAACTACATGCCTGTTATGAGTTGAGCTTCATATCCCTTTTTTTAAAGCTAGAATTAGCATCATATTTCATTATCCGACAGCTCTAGCTTGGTGCTAACAAAACTGCGTATTTCCTGAGGGATGCTAAGGGAAATTAGCATTATGCTAGTGGATAATCAGACAGTGAAAGGTTGCTTGTTAGGTGAAGTTTTCTGCATTAATCAAATCAAATCAAATCAAATTTATTTGTATAGCGCTTTTTACAACTGATGTTGTCACAAAGCAGCTTCACAGAAATCCGTTTAGAACAAAGTTTCAACATGAAATGTAAATCCTCCAGGTGAGCAAGCCAGGGGCGACAGTGGCAAGGAAAAACTCCCTCAGAGCTGAGGAAGAAACCTTGGGAGGAACCAAGGCTCACATGGGGGGACCCATCCTCCTCTGGTCAAACTACGTACAAAATTATTATTCTACTAATATTAATAATAGTAGTAGTAGTAGTAGTAGTAGTAATAGTTAGGAGGTAGTAATAGTTAGGAGACTTCAGCGTAGAGTGGGCATCCAGTCCAAGGCAGGTGGCGGTGACTGGGTTGTGGGTAACTGGTCTGAAGCGGGTAGCCGGAGAGCTCTACAAACAATCATCCAGCAGTGTCCGGCCAGACAGGTGGGCAGTCGTTTTCTCGGAAGAAAGGTAGGGAAATGGAGTTAGCTTAGTTCTGTATGGGTGTATGTATAGTAGTATGTAAAACATTTCCAGAGTGTGGCTAATGACTCCGGCAGATCTGACTATAACAGCTTAACTAAAAGGAGCGAACCAAAAGGGCACACAGACACGGGAGCACCCTGAAACAATTTGGCATCCCTCCGCTCCACCTTCCACAAACCTGAGTGTTCGCGTGCGAGCGGAGGGACGGCATTAAACATATATGTGTGTGTATCTCTATTTGGCACTACTTGTTCTTTTGGTCCATTCCAATTTGTCAGACGTCAGAAATAATAAATATTGTGATGATGTAAATCATGGAAATTTTATTGAAACATTGTGATATTATATTTTTGTCATATCGTCCACCCCTAGTTTGCAGCCAAGACAGTCAATGAGCACTTCTGTCATAACTGCTATGAGAGCTAAGAGACATCTACAAATTACTTTGTGAGTAGTAATCACCGGGATCCAAGCACAAAGTACCATTTTGGAGCCAGTACAACACAACTAATAGGCTAATTGACCTCTCTTTATAATAGATATGGTGTCTCAAAAGAAAATGGCTGCACTTTGACCTTGTGACCTTGGTACAGGAGGAAACAGATTTTGAACAAACTCTATTGTTTGTACATGATTTGTTTTCGCTTCTCAGTTAACTAAATAATTCCACAGTAATTACAACTGTATAGTTGTGCATCACAGTTTTCATGTTGAAATCACTAACATGGTAGTACGTAGTAGTAATGGTGCCACTGGACCCCACAACAGGGGATTCGGTTTTGCATGCATCACCTTTTTCATGTCTGCATACAAGTATTTGTCAGCGGGGTTCATCTTTAATTCTGAATAATTTTAATTCCCCTCTATCACTAATTTTTTGTAACCAGGAGAGGAAATCAGACTGTCGTGGTCAAATATAAGAGTTTCTTTAATTTCTGTAATACGGTATTGCAAGCAAGTAGAAAATAATGGTCAGGCGGAGAAGGTGTTGTCATAGCAACAATTAACAAATCCCTGGTTTAGCGGAGTGTCACATTATTGCAGTTTCTCGCTCTGGACCTTTCAGACTGGGCTTTCCATTGGCAGAGCGTGTTGGTACTTTCTTTGTGCTTTGCTTCACTCATTTAACAGTTTAAGTGACTGCTGATAACCAGCTTGACTCAGTTGAATCCATTTCCTGCAAGCTCAATGTCTATGTGATGAGGGTTTTTCCATTGATAGCATTGTCTAGGCTAGGCAATTAAAGCTAGTGTTAATGTTGTGCTGAGAAATTAGCTCCCAACTGTGTTTCATTGAAAATTAGGAAATGTCTTTTCTCTGAATCTACCTCCCTTTGTTCCCTCCTTCTTTTATGAGTGGTCTCAGCTTGAGCTGTTTTAGCTGTGTTCTCCACACCCTGTTGTAAATCTTATTAATTAAATCTGGCTAAGTAAATCACAGGATTGAGTCTCTCTCTCTCTCTCTCTCTCTCTCTCTCTCTCTCTCTCTCTCTCTCTCTCTCTCTCCCTCCCTCCCTCCCCCACTATCAGACAATCCAGCCACCCCTGCAGACCGTAAATATACACTGAGCTCTACCTTGTTCAGCTCACTGACGCGCACAACTGGTGTGTGTTTTCACTCGAGCGGGCCATCTGTTGTTTGAATTGCTTTGATGTTTTGACTGCATTAGCCGTAATGACTTGGTGAATTGTAGACTCTTAACAGTCTCAGCTAGTTTTAATGGCGGAGCTTTAAAAGAGGGAAGCAAAATAAATTTGACGCAGTCAGTCCATTTTGGGAAGCAAGGCTTTTTAAAAAGGCCATAAAGCAACGCAGCCCACCGTGAGCTTGCGTGCTGGTTCTGGACCCTTATCTTATCAACTTAAGTGGGCAGCAGTTACAGCATTGCAGAAAATGATTCAGAAGTATCTGGAATTGGCGCTATAGTCTGATTCCTCTATGAATCAGTGAATGTTTCATGTTTCTCTTTTTTCTGTTTTTCTTTTGCTCTTTCTCCCATGCTTCTCTTTCCTTCATTTTCTCACTCTCCATTCTTTTCTCTGTCTCACTCACGCACTTTGCTCTCATTTGTCTGTCTAACTTTGTCTCTCTGTTTCTCTTGTGCTCTCTCTCCTCTCTCACTATTTTCCTCTTTCCCTCTTTCTCACTCCCTCTTTTCTCTCTGCCTCTTTTCTCTCTGCCTTTTTGTTGCTCACTCTTTTGTGCTGTAACCTCTTTATCTTTGTGTTTGTCTTTCTCTTGCACTCTCTCACTCTTTCCTTTCTCTCTTTCTCTTACTCTCTTCATTCTTTTCTCTCTCTCTATAACTCGCTCACTCACTCTTGCTCTTTTCTCTCTCTCTATTTTTTGTCTCTTTGTCTCTCTGTTCTCTTTATGCTTTCTCCCTCTTTTTCTCTCTCTTCTTTTTCTCTTTTCTCTTGTTCTCTTCATTTTTCTTCTCTCTTTTTCTTGTTGCTTGCTCACTTTTTTGCTTTTTCCTTTCTTAATGTTTCTTTCTTGCATGCTTGCTCTCTCCCTCTTTTACTTTTTTTCTATTCGTTCTTTTACTTTCTTCATTCTCGTTTCTCCGTCTCACTTTTCTCTCTATAATTGTCGCTATTTGTCTTGCATTTTCTCACAAATTTTTCTCCCTTCCATCTGTCTCTTGCTCTCTACATTTTCTTTTTGTCTCTCACACTCACTCCCTCTTTTCCCCTCCTGACTCTTTTGCTGAATGTGCTTCTTTCTCTTGCTTTCTCTCCCTCACTCCTTTCTCTTGCTCTCTTCATTCTCCTCTCTCTCTCTCTCTCTCTCTCTCTCTCTCTCTCATGTGCTCACTTTCACACTTTCTCTCCCTCTCTTTTTTGTTTTTCAGGCACGCTCACCCAGTTCACACTGGTCCTTTATGGCACTGCTTCCTCCTCCGGTGGACCGTCCACACCAGACTTCAGCCAGCCCACTGAGGGCAGTTGCAAGACCTACGACCTCAGTCAGATGTGCACAGGTGAGAACCAGACTGCTGAGGAGAGGGCACCCCCTGCAGGCCCCTTCCTGCACCTGCACTACTGCAGCTAAATGATGCTGATCAATTACTGCTGGCAGAGAAGTGATTGTCTGTTACACATTAAAACATTCCACACATGGGAGAATGTTTAAAGATCAGATTTAGGGCATTTATTTAAATAAGCAGTGTATGTTCAACACCATTAACTAATTATAAGAACTGAAGATCTGCCTGAATGCTGTATAGTTAATATTGTAATTATAACAAAACCTATGAAACCTATGTAATTTTATAAAAGTAGGAAAAACATTCTGAACTTTAATGTAAATTAAGGCAGCATAATTTTATATCAAGTAATTTTGGGCCATTTGTGTTGGAATGTTTACACAATGCAGTAAATAACTGCCAAATGTTGCTAATTAAAAAGGGAAAAGATTAGTTATGAGGTTTTGAATTGACAGCAGTGATATGAAAATCAAACTAATTTAGACTCATGACACATTTGAACCTAAGCATATAAATCTGTTTTTATTTTCCTTTGTGTGATTTTTCTTTAATGATAGTCAGAACTTGAGTTTTTTGGCTGGCTTTACACAGTGAAACTTTCATGCCACCAGTTGCATGTTGTGAGTTCTCTGCAACACAGTTTTCATACAGCTTGACAAACAAATCAATTCAAAAACAAAGCTGCATGCAACACATTCAGTTACACTGTCATTCTCGCTATAAAGTCACCTGTGAGGTGTTGGAAGCATTTTTATCATCATTGTTTATTTTTTCCAGCTGTCATTGCTGTTTTTTTTTTGTTTTTTTTATCCTCTCCAGTAGTCAGTCTCTGGAAATAGACCTCATAGGCTCTAGAACTGAGAAGCTCCAGACAATACAAAGATTAGCATTAAAATTTTGTTTGTGTTTCATTTTTTAAAATTTGTTTCCCACCAGAGCTGCACAGTATTGTTTGGTAACCATTATCACAGCACCAACCTTTGCAGTGCTGATTTTGCAGAAGATCAATCACAAAATTTGTGTATATGCCAAAGGGTGGGCAGGGTGCTCTAAAGGTGAATGAAATTTAATTTACAGCACGTGACAGATTCTCTTATCTAGAGAAGGCTTATCATGTTTCGGCGACAAATTAATGTAGTCTTAGTCTTTCCAAAAGCAGCCTAAAACATTAACATTTCTTCCAGTGTGGGGATTTGAACCCCAGTCTCCAGTACACTTCTAACCACTCCGGTGAGTTATAGTTAAGAGGGATATGAAAGCCTTTAAAAGGAATAGGTAGGCCAAAAAATCAATTTATCCAATGTTCCACTTGTCCCAGATATGGTCCATCAGCCAAGACTTCTTTGTTGTCCCAATTTTGCTTCTTTACTTTAGAACTGGAGCTACAAGGCTAATGTAGCTAATGAACACTAGAACTCAATAGCCACCAAAATAGCCGACGTTGTTTCTGTTAAAATATGTCCCTAAAACTTCTCTCAAACTGCATCCAGGTCTAATTAATGTTGCACAGGCTTGTCAGTGTAGTTTAGGACACAGTGTGACTGAATTTTCAACGCTACAGCAATTTCAGACATCATCAGGCTGTTAGTCACAAAGCATAACTGATCTTGGATCAGATACCTCCATATTTATGACCATCATTGTCACAAATACTGACAGATCAGCACTCCTACTCCTGAAGTGATTTCTGAATACAGACTTTGTTGACTAAACTGGCTGCCTGCAGTTTTGTTCATTTTTGTAGTTCACAGCAAGTCATACTGTGTCCTAAATCACATGGGCACGTCTGCACGAGCTGGATGCGGTTTAAACAGGTGGAAAAAAGTTTTGGTGATGTATTTTTATAGAAGTGATTTGGACTATTTGAGTGACTTTTCTAGTGTTTGTTAGCCTCGCCGCTCCAGTTCTAAACCAAAGAACCAAAGTTTGGACTCCAAACATGTCTTGGCCATTCGACTCAATCTAGAGTCACTTTAAATTGTGTAAATTTAAACCAAGCAATTCCTTTAATACCATTGCTTGAAGAAATTTAACAATTTGATTTGTGTCCCGAAAGAGTCTGTTTAACAAGTTCTTTCAAAATGCATACGTTATGAATTGTGATGCTTTCATAAAGAGACATTTATCAGCAGAACTTCCACAGGCCGGAGTTGACTGAGGCAAAATCTAGTGGGAGAACACGAGAGCGATAAAGCTTGTGGAAACTAAGCCAACCATCTAACTCTATTCCCAGGCCAAGACTGAGTTAACTTTGCCTCATAGAAATGGATCTTGAACAATAGCAGAAGCTATATATAACATACACCATTTGAGAGGGCGAAGGATCAGTGGCTCAAGCCCCTCCTGGGGATCATGATCTCATTCACATGGTCCAACAGTTTTTTTTGGTCAAAATAATGCAAGCTGTATTGAACCACGTCACCTCAATGGTTTACCACTGTATTTCCAGTGAACTGCACTGTTAGCAGTTTCATTGCAGTATGGTATTTTGTCTGTTTTGTGCAGCCCTACTGTGAACCCATATGCTCCCTTGGCCAATTTTAACTTTCTCCCACATTGTATGACTGTATCACCAGTCATGGTGGGTGAAGAATTCCTCTGCAGAAGCTTGCCACAAACCTTTTTGAACTACCATCTATATATACCATCTGTAAGGCAAAGCACGAAAGCTAAGTGATGAACTCTATTCCATGCTGAGAAAGATGCCTTCAGCCTTGCACAGCACAGCTGGCATATGCTGCTTTTCCTGGGTGCTCTAGGGATCTTGCAGTGCATTCTGTAAGTAATTGGACAGTGACATTTTTTTTGGCTCTGTGTTGTAGCACATTGGATTTAAAATGAAATAGTGAGGGTAAAATACAGCATGTCACTTTTAATTTGAGGGGATTTACATCTATATTGGGTGAACCAGCCTTTTTTATAATGGTCTCCCAGAGGTTTAAGCAGTTTGCTATTATTCTTTCTTTTGAAATAATTGTCTTGGATGAGTTTGCAGGATGCCACTGAGGTTAAAAGCGGACATGCCATTTAGAAAAACAACCCCCTTTAGGATCTTTAAAACGGATCATTCACAAAAGAGAAAACACCACAGTTTGGGTATATTTTATTATAAGTATGGCAGGCAGAATGAGGCCAGACATCACAGATTGATGGGGCTTTGCACAGGCATCTTCACGCATAGCAGCTGCCCCAACTGGACAGCGTATATTTAGAGCAGGAATGCGATAATGAATAGTTTCGTTTTGAAACATATTTTTGTAAGGGATATAGACATTCAGACCTTATAAAGCTTTTATTTCTACCATGTTAAAGACCACTCAGATGTGCTGCCATATTTTAGGGCCTTAATTAAAATACTGTTCACGCTGCATACTTTTATAATGTCAAAAATGCTTATTGGTCATTTTCGCTTTGTGGAATTCAGTGCTTTGCACTGTTTGTGGACATTATTTTAGACCAGACTTTCTCACTGCAGATGTTTGCTTGGGAACTTTACAGAAAACTTGTAGACCAATGGAAAATAGAGATTATTATATAGTTTATTTATTAGATACAATTGGTCAATGGAGAGAACAGCTGGACACAGTAGCATTGTGCTTTTTGACTAAGAGCAGGCATTAGTTTTTATTGTCACTGTTCCGCAAAAACCTCGTCCTTTTTTAATTTTCAGTATAATTTTGAAATTCCACGTATCATTTGCATTGTATTAAACTTTAATGATTAACAGACCAACAGAAATGGTCCAAAATTACTTGAAAAATACGTTTTGTTCTCCTGTAAAGTTACACTTTTGGAGTTTTGATTAATGGTGGTGTATGACGGTCACCACTATTATACATTAACCTCTACTATATATGTGTTTGTTTTTTAATACTACAAAACAGGATTTTAATAGGGTGCTGGTATCAGCTGATACCCTGAATTCACATGTCAGATTTGTTATAAGGCAAGAACAAGTTTGAGCGGTTCACCCCACCAACAGCTAATGAGAATTTTGTTCTTCTGTCTTCAGAATGCAACCCGGGCTTTTACCTGTTCCAGCAGGGCTGTGTACGAGAATGTCCCTCTGGTTTCACACCAGTCACCCGCTCCACATACTACGGCAACGAGGTGTCTCCCGTCCTCCACCTGGCTTGCCAGCCCTGCTACAACCTCTGCCTGACCTGCAGTGGCACAGGCCCGCAGGACTGTCTCTCCTGTCCCCCTCATAACCACCTGGACCCAGTCACCAGCACCTGCCTGCACCAGAACCAAATCCAGCGCGAGTCACCTGCCAGCGGTCTGGATCAGCAGCGGGCAGGGGGCTCGTCCGGGGTCATCCGCCTGCAGCTCCTTTCCAGCCTGCCTGTCACCATGGCGGTGATCAGCTGTGCCTTCATTGTGGCCACCTTTGTGGGCGTGTTCGCCCTGCTTCAGTTGCGCTCCCACAACTTGTCCAAAATGTACTCAGCCGAGGGTGGCCCGGGCTCTATCATGCGCTCTGGCTTTGGCCTAGGCCGCAGCGGGGTCGTGTCCTACAAGGGCATCCCTAGCGTGTGGCACGAGGATGGGGTCAACTCAGAGTCCGAAAATGAAGAGTTTGACATCCACAATGAGAGGACTGCCTTTATCAAAACACAAAGTGCTCTTTAACCCCTTTTCACCCTCCCACTCCCTTTTCTAGCCTATTCCGTCTTTTTGTTCGCCCTTTTTCTTCTTTTTGTAGCCACTGACACTTTTTTCCTTCACGGGTTTGACTCTCCTGCTTCTCTTAAGGCACACTGACCCAACACTTCCCAACAAATGCTGACATTGTTGGCGGCTGGCTTTATAATTGAGCCAAATGAGCTGGTGTGCATTGACATACCCAGGCCCTGTGTTCTTTTGTAGTTACTGTTGCCAGGTTGGACAAGCTTTAAAGAAGGTTGGCCAAAATCTCATTCAACATAATGAGAAATTGTAACGAACTTTGCTTAGAGTCGCTACAGTGTTGAGGTTTAGAGCTTAATGTCAAAGCTAGACTATGTTGTAGATTATTTAGATAAGTCAGATTGGAAATACATTTTTGGCAAAGTTCTTTAAAGCTTATCCAGCCTTGCAGCAGTTTCTACTGTTGAATGCATTTGTGGGCTGAGCATGAATAGGCCAGTTAGGGAGAACATTTCAGAGCAATGGTCACCAACCCTCCTCCTGGAGAACTACTTTCCTGCAGAGATTATTTCCACCCTAAATGCACCAAGCTAATCCTGGACTTCCACAGAAGTTCATTAGCTGCAGCATATGTGGTAGATTGTGGTTGGAACTAGACTCAGGTAGGTAAATCTCCAAGACCAGGGCTGGTGACCGCTATTCACTCCAACAATCAAACACATGCCCAGTCTTAGTATGTTGGAGAGTGTTAGGTCAGCGTGCTCAGGGCTTTAGGGTTCTATTTATTAAAATTTTTGTTTTGAATTTCTCACATTGGTGAGCTGAGCTGAACAGAAGGTCAGGACCACTCTGAGTAAACCCGTTTGTCCCACCCTTCCTCGCTCACCTGACCGGCTCACTCGTCTGTGCCTCTCTATGAAAGCCTCCAACACTTGAATGGCTGTAAAGTAACTGAGAAGAGTTGATTGTCGCAGGTTGCCAGCAGTGCTCTCCCAAATGAACACAATAAACACATGATTGTCGGCTAGTCTTTCCCTCTTTATTTAGTCCCGTCTCAGATTGCCTAACGAGATTTAAGGAGAAGATGTGTGTAATTGTGACCATATGCGATGTAACGGAGCTGGGGCAAAGGGTGCCGAGTGATGTTTTAATCACAGCTGATTCATTTCAAGTCTAGTGAATCACTGTGGAGGGGCCTAAAACGCTGAATTTAAGCCTTGCCTATGCTGGGGGCCTTTTTTGTTTTTAATCATATCTTTTTATCTGCGTTCTTTTGCGATTAGTCGTCTGGAGTCATGAGGTTAGCATGCATCTCACACAAAGCGCAGACCCTGAGCGAGATGCTCCCACAGAGCATTGAAAATGCTGAACTCGTGTGATTTTTGTTTTTCCTTTTTTCTTTATTTTCCGAAGGCAGTTTAAACTGCAGTAACCTCGTGCTCTCTCGTTGACTCCCTGTAGGGGACTTGTCTCCGTACACTCTGGCAGCTGCTCTAAGCTCGTTCTGCAGCATTTCTCCAGAGCTGAAGACTTTTGCAATTCTGTTTTGCAGTTGAAGCTTTGGGAAGGATAAAAACACTAGCGGAGTCTCTCAGCGTTGCCCTGAGGAGATTGAGATGAGGCACTTTGTTAGTTTGGATTATCTTTATATCGTGTAGACATAGTGAAGTCTTTTGCCACCGTTTAAGTGACTTTTACTTGTTTTTATTTGGAAAAACTACAAGGGCTCAAGTGAACCTATGATCATTTTAATGCAGCTATTAGATGAGTGAGGCAGGGAATCGGAATAAATTATCCTTTGATCTGGTTAGATGAGTAGAGAATTAGTCAGGTTAATATTTATCATCTCTTATTTCTGGTGGTGTGCTTTGGCCTTGTGTTTAATTTTTAATTTTTTTTCATATTTTTGTCTTTCTTTTTCTGTTCATGCTCACGTAATTATGGTCTCACACAGGGCTGTCATAGTCTTGGAGGCTGTGAGCTGTATTTTTTTAGAAAGTAAATAGTGACCACCTGGAATAGGTGCATTTGTTTGCAGAGGATATATGAATATATCATGGACAGACTTTCCTTACAGCTTTTTTCTTATGAATTTGTAGCATACATAGCACTATGATTCTTTCAGTTCTTTCAAGAGTCTTCTAGCAGCATTACACTAAGAACAGTCTGAAGGTCTTCTCTTCTGCACTCATCAAAGCATTGATGCTATTTCAGTGCTAGTTGCTACAACACTGTCTTTTCCCACAGTCTCCTGTGGATGATACTACAATATAAAACTCAGAAGGCTGCGATGCTTGTAAATGAGCCACCACCGTCTCTGAGCTCAGACTATGGCATACTAAACAGTCGGAAACATTGACTCCATCCTTTAGAAATTGATTTTCTGTCATGATTTTATTTTATTTATTTCTTTTCCTGGACTGTGTGCTCAACCTTAATTGTAATGCCAAGGTTGCTAGAGCAATAGGATCTCTTTACAATATCTAACCATATTTATGGCAATTAAGTATGTAGAGTTATAATTTTTTTAGGGAGTATGACCTTCCCTATTTTTAAATCATAGTTAATTAAATCCTGCCTTGGGAAGATGTGTGATTTATCGAAGCTTCAAAGTGGTTTTAAGATGTCTTATTTTTTTTTTTCTTACCTCAGTTTTTTTTCATTTCCTGCTTTAATGTAAATTGCATATGTATATATTCACTTTTTCATTTCCTCCTTTTATAATTATTTCCTGTCTTTCTCATCACTGTTCTCTCTAGAATGAATATACAGAGTACATGTTACAGGAATCAGGATGAAATCATAGAGCCGATCACAACTCATTATACATAAAGAACCAAAAATGATGCGTTATATGATGTGCACATTATCAGTTCTGTCGTTCATCAGAAGAATCAATTCGCTGTGTAGCTCTGTTTGATGCTAAGCATATGCCTCCAAAGCTTCCTTTTCATGTTTTTAACCATCAAAAAGCTTCCTTAGTCCACTCTATGCAGGACAAATTCTCCTGTAATTGGTCTCCACTGTCCACTCATGCCGATGTCATCTGTAGGCCATAGAGGAGAAGTTCTTTATTTCTGAATTCCAATAACGATTAAGAATAGTTTCTCCAGAACGAAAGGCGTATGATCCAGCATTGATCTAGCATTCTAAAATAACATTTTAAAATTTTTTGTACATACGCTACTGTTTGAAAGTTTGGAGTCACTGTTTTCAATAATATAAAACCGGTTTTGTTGTATATGCATGTATAAAAAGCTGTATAGCTTTGAGAATTGGTTTAAAATTTACAGTCGTATGCAAAATTTGTTTTTACATGTTTTGTTGATGTTAGGGACAAATAGGGGACAAATTTAAATATGGTATTTTTCTGCAGATTTTAGTGCACAGTCTCTATTGATTTAACATATTGGAAAAATATATAACATACATATACATACAAACAAAATCATGAACAAAAAGGGGTTAAAAAAACTAATCAAAACCAAAACAATTTCAAAAAACACAAGTGTAAAACATGACAAGTATGCCATAACTTTCACACAGACTACTTATGTTAAACATTAATTATAAATTCAGCAAATAAGCAGTAATTGTACCTTAAAATGCCATATTTAAGTGTGTTCACTGTAAAGGATGTTTTCACTTCCACAACCAGTTTTTGACCAGGGTGCCCAAACTTTTGCACATGACTTTATATCCAGAATGCCTCATATTTGAGAATGAGTGATCATGTTTCATTGATTAAATAACTTTTTAGAAATTTTACTAAAAATTCACAGTAATTTAATGACAAGAAATTACTATAAATAGATCATTGCAGTTTATTGTTTAATAACATTTGTGTTACTTTACCATTTGTTCCCAAAATACTATAAATTGTGAATAAACTGTTGGTTTACATTTTACGTTTTTCAGTCTACACTGTACAAGTTATTATGCTGTGTTATTAATATGACAAGTGATTCCAAACTTTGACATTAGTGTATAAACCACACGTAATAAGAAATTCACAGTCTTGGAATATTGCATGAACGATACAATAATTGGATTCTTTATACATCCTGACGGCACATAATGCTACAATATAAGTGAAGCTTATAGAACAGACCTGTCAGTAAACAGTGTTGTTTTTCAAGGGCGCTATAGGAACATATTTCTCTAGTCTACCCTTGGAACCTGCATTGCAGCCTAACAGCATGACAGCGTGCAAACATCAGCCTTCTATAGAGCCTATTCTACAACATTCAGATACCTCTCCTAACTGTGACTTCCACTCATGTCTCTTTTCCTTTAGTTCTCGGTTCTGTATTGTACGCGGCCCTTGGAGTCCTGCAGGTCGTCGGTTTCGTCCCCATGCTGTGTAGGAGTTGTGCTGCAGCTACATGTCGGCCTTTGTGGAATTTGCTGACAGGCTAGTAAAACTAATGAGACCACCTTGACCTTGGCTTTAAGGTGTTTCTCTTCATTCTTAAAGGAATTTAACAGTGTTTTTCTAGCTAATATCTGTCTGCCTCATCTGTAGTGTAGGGTCAGTTACCACAGACAATCATTTTAATCTGTTTCCCTGTAATGAGTTAGAGAACCCAAACCTGTTGGCTCAAAACGTGTATAATAGAAGCCAGTTGGCTTTTATTATATGGCTGTTTTTTGAGTCAGTGGTAAGAGGCCATATAATATAGACATAGCTGGTGGAGATTAGCTCAGAAAACACTAGCATAAGGTGGTTGCGATCTTGCCAGTTTTCGTCTGGAGGTCACCCCCACCCACCCTGCGTATATGTTCTATACGCACTCGTTGCTGGCACGACCTTCCCAGTGAGGAACGTGGGGTTGCCCTCATGATATTATATAGATGTGATGCTCCAAAGGGCTTGAACGTCTGCCACCATCCCCCCGCAGAGGGGGTTCATCCAAGTTTGGCACAGCGGTGTCTCTCTCTCTCTCTCTTACCAAGCCTTTCGGAATTCACCGGACTTCTCCGCCCATTTTAAATCGTTCTGTCGTCCGACGGCCACGTCTAGTACCTTAGTAACAGAGACCTATTGTTTGTTGGAAAGACTATAGTATATATCTGAGACAGGACAACTACATTAATATAAAATAAGGCCTATTTTTGTGTATTGTCATACATGTAATTTAAAGATTTTGCCTTTTTAATTTTTTTTCTCCTTTATTTAATTGATGTCAATATGCGGATTATAGATTCTACAAAAATAAAGATCTATGCAAAGTTATTAATTTTGCCTCTTTTCATTACTTGCTTATGCTGTGTGCTTCTAGAGGTTTTGTTTTTCCGTATCATTGAAAATCAAATTTGCTTCACTTTTTTTTAATTAAGAGATTGAAAGTAAATAAACATTGTTGAGTATTTTAAAACATGCCATTCACAAGTCCATGTATGGAAACTAAGCTGCAAAAGTGCCTTCATTCGAATTCATTACTTTTGTGATGTCACAAAAACGAATGTATTTTCCTGTATTCAGCCTGTTAATCCTACAGCAGTGTTTCATTCACATAGTCCATTTTAAAGGAACAGTAACAAAGAACAGCTTGTTTAATTCTAAGGGATTAAGAGAGGATGGAAAATGGTCATTTTAAAGTGGACGATGACTCATTTTGGTACTTAAACCCACACAAATGTTATAGAAAAGCATGTAAATTGTAGGATATGGGCCCTTTAGAATGGCCTTTTAAACTACTTGAACTGAACTGAAAGAACAAGACTGGTACGCTGAGACTAGTTCCAGCTGTTCTACTTGAACCCTCTCGCATCCTGTTGAGGTTGAGGTGTTTTGACATAAGTAGGTGGACGAATGATGCTTTCAGTTACAGATTTCACCTACAGGCCCAGACGACCGCCGTTTCAGCTGTGAACTGTGCAGAGTGCACAGCAGGCTGGTGAAAAAGCAAACATCAGTATTCCTAATTTCAGTTCACATTTCATTGTGTTTACCTATTGTGATTAGTACAGGATAATAGTTATTTACCCAAGTATCCTTCCAACTGTCCACCGACTACACGTACTGTTTGTTTTTTCTTTAATGGGATGCTGAAACGCTTGCAGAGGAAGTGCCAGCTGATTTGAAATGAACTTTCTGCTCATCCCAGCGATTTAAAAAATCCCATCTACTTCCACTCCTATGGGCCAGAGAGAAATTTAGGCCAGCCATAGTGGTGCTGAATCTTTAATTGGTGGAAATCCTGCTGTGGATTTTTTTTTTCTTTTTTTTTTTTCCAAAGGAGCTTCTAAAATGAGAAGGGGAAAAAAAACACAACATTGCACAAAGCACACAAATATATTTCAAGCAGAAGAGTGATTTTAAAGGGGATGTGTGCTGATTTTTCAAAATTTGTGCATAATTCAGAATAACATCTGTAGAGTTTGATTCCCCTAAAGCTACCTCATACATATATGTATATATATATATATATATATATATATATATATATATATATATATATATATATATATATATACATACACAATTCACACAATGTACAGATTACGATTTTGGGGTATAGTGTAGTTCTGGTGTTGCTGGGACAGACAAAACCACTGCATTCTTAAAACTTTAGATTGGTCTTTTATCACTGCTTTATTTTTCTTAATACATCTATTACCTTTAATTTACAGTTCAGTAAATGTAATATCTGTGGGACACAATCGTGGAATTCGCTCCTCAGCCGCTGGTCTTCACGCTGCTGTGTCTGTGTTTGTGTTTGTGTTCCAGTTAGAGTAAAAGCTGCTAATCGTGCACCTGACCGGCCGCTCGGAGCTCGGAGCTCAGAGCGCTTCCTGGTTCGTGCTCGGCTGGCTAGGCTGTCCTCACTGAGCTGCAGCTATAGCGCGGTTGGCGGTGCGGCTGTCAGACTGACTGTAAAACCCGCTTTCGCTCTAAACGGTGTTTCGCTCTTCAGCGTTTTTAATGGACGCTCGCCGCCCGCAGACACCGTGAGGAGAGAATTCACTACGAGAGACAATCCAAGGAGGTGAGCTGGGTTCAGCGCTTATCACAATCAGGGGGGTCAGATGGAGGCTAGGCTGCTGTAGGAGCTGAAACCCCAGCCCTACCAGGTAGAAAGTGGAAGGATCCTAGTGAAGGTAAATGGTGCGATTCAGTGGTCACTAAAACAACGCCCTGCAGATGAGCTGTGATCCAAGAAACTCGTTTTTGGCAGCAGCTGCTGCTAATTCAGTCCTGCACACTAAAGATCCTGGACTGGGCTTGATGGCTTAAAGGGCAGTTCCACCGATTTTTTACATTTCTGTATAATTCAGAGGTTGAGATGTAAAAAAAAAATCATTCAGAGTGGTCTGATGTGAAACGATTCGTTTACAGAGAAGCTAGAGATTGATTTCTTTACAGTGGTGGTGATAGGAACGGGGGCCGCGATGTCTACAACACAGATATAGCCATTTTATTTACTATCCTAAACCACCAGTGAACCTATACATGTCTTCAGAGTTTTATATGTAACACTGATGATGGTAAAATCGTGATAAATCTGAAAAAAATACAAATTATTTTCTCTGGGGACTATTTTGCCTAAGAACACCCTTTATTTATCCCTCCACCATGAATGGATTAAAATAAATTGATTAAAATGTTTTAGATCGAAAACTATGTGATCTTAAGCAGTGTATTCATAACCATTTACTCTGTGAAGGAGCTTTTAGAGGTGGACGTCTGGTTCCTATCACCACCACTGTGAACAATTCTGACTCTTAAGGTATTCTAGGTTGAAGCGTTTCACATCAAACCACTCTGAATGACTTATTGTGTGGTTCACTATTTATTCATGCAGAAATTTTGAAAAAAAAAAGAAGTAATAATGAAAATGCATGATTTAATGACATGGTAGATAATTGCCTTTGTATAGCTGTATTACAATACAGAACAATATTATAAGAACACTTAATAGGCCATAAAGTTAAACTGTTAGCCTCACTGCTCATAATCTTAATTTTTTATCCATAGTATTCAACAAAAATTATATCATTAATTATATTGTCATTAAAATATTTCAAATGCTGCTCATGGCATTTGTTGATTAGTCGGCTTCTTATTCGAATTTCCTGTTCCGCCTTAAATGGTGCAGCAATTGCAAAGGAACAGCAGTAAAAAACAGCAGTAAAGAGATGCATGATTCTAATGTAACCAAACTCTAATGTAACCAAACATGCCCACATTAAATGTGAGCGATGGTCAAAGCTGCTTCTGTTGTAAAGAAATGGGCTGTTCAACAGGGCTCAGTGGAGTTTCGATTTACTGACCACCACCAAACCCTGCAGGACAAAGCAACGTAGAGCTGAGAGACCATTCTCTCTTGGAGTCAGTCCATCATGATTTGGCATTGTTTTTTCAAAGTACTTCATGTTCTCTTAATTGAAATCACTAACTTTGACAGGATTTATTGAGTTAGATATTTTATTGATATTATTGATTTATGAATACATGTAAGCAGTTATGTGCACTGAAAGATGTTTGTTTTTCTGGATTTAAAAGAAACCATATCCTTTAAAGGTTCAACAGTTTGGACTGCCCGAATGGAAGTGGCTAGTGGGTATGATATGAAAATCTTTGTAAAATAGACTGTGTCAGTAAATCATTAACAGAAACAGTATTTGTGTTGAACGGTATTTTCCCTGTTGGTATTTCCCATTTCCCAAATAGTCATAAATTTTGTTTGCTTCATATCGATAATGTAGTGTAGTACATGATTTCGCAGTAATGAAGGAAGTTCTGGTTGTACACAACATCCTCTTTTGTCCTGAATTGCACTTGAGGAAGCGAAAGACTTAACAACTGCTCTTATTAAGCCCCTATCACGGTATATTGTATGCCAAGATATGCAAACTGATTCATTTCATCAAGCCGTCTCTGATTGATCTGTGTTAAATTAGAGATTTGAGGCTAGTCTGAGCCACAGATGTTTTGCTTGATTGATTTGCATGATTAAAAGGAATAAGCTAGGCATTGTCATATTTAATCAAACGTTGAAACTCTTATCTTTTTTGATTGATGGGTTGATTAAGTGAGTCTAGAAGGCAGGAAAGATTAAAAGCTAAGTCAAAGAGGTGATTAGCTTTCCTAGTAGCATTGTCAGAATGAGCACAATGTAAGTATTTCTTTTCAAGGTATGATCTGGCCACAAATCAGATTTATAGGAATGCAATCATATGGGAATCTTGGGCTGATGCTGATTCAATAATATTCATGAAATGTAAAACTTGAGACTACATCTACTTGGTTAGCATCAGAGAGAAACAGGGTGGCGAATGGTATAAAATGAATAAAATGCGGACCTTTTAGTACAGTCGCCTGACTCCTCTGATCTTCTGGAGTACAATAAATATGCTGTCAAATATCAATTTAAAATATTTGTCAAATCTAAGCATCTGTCGCATGCTGATCATTTTTTAATCAGTTATTGGTCAACACTGCTAACAGTCTGATATCTTGCTTCCTTACAAATCATACAATTTCCCCTTTACTCAAACCACCATGCAGCTGATGTTGCTAAGAAGTGATTATGATCAGTAGCTTAGCATTGTGCACACCTTTTGGCTGAATCATTTCACTTTCCTCAAACCACGGTGAGTAATCTCAAATAGACTATTCTAGAAAACATTGTCTTGCAGTGTCAGAAGCCACAGAAGCAATTCTATTAGAGATTACTTCACAATTTGACATGGTTTGAGACACGATTAAGCATGAAGTTAGCACAATGCTAACTGGTGAGGTAGGGGGTCATTTCTATGTTTTTCTCAGGGATTATCCCTTTATTTTCTCACTGATATGTATAGAAAATGGCTGTATGTTCCCCTGGCCCTGTGTTAGTAAATTTGGAAACTGGATGTTCCCTCAATTTCCCTTCGGGATTCTGCAGTTTTCCTTCGGGATCAATAAAGTTCTTTCTATCTATTTATCTATCTATTGAAATGTCCCTGAAACACCTCAATGGCTCTAGGTTTCAGCCCCAAGCTGGCTCAGTCATGTTTCTGAAGTTCTCCAGGAGCAGAACTTGCCCAGATATCATTGTGATCTGATGCAACACTTGTTATGTCTTTAAAACTGGTCTTGTGGCAAACTGCTAAATTACTTCATCTGTTATTCATTCCTGCTGATGTAAGTTTGTTACTCTGCTAACTTGCTAGTTAGCTAGTTAAGGCCTAACTAGTAAGAAAAAGGAAGAGCAATGCACCATATTTACAACACATTTACAACAGACAATGCAGTTATTCAAAGTGTCTTCTGCACTTTGACTTCTCACAAAAAAATGGTTTGCTTAGCAAGCTAATTAGCTTACTGAGGCTAGCCTCCTCTTTCCTACTGGAAAAACCGGCTCCTTGTTGATCCCTGTATCACCTTCAGTGACCCAAAGAACCATAACCTTAAGAACCCTTTCATAGTTTTCCTTAATGTGTCATATTGAGGTGTGATGTGTCATGTAAAGATCTGAGGGAGCATAGAGCCCTGTAAATATAGATACACTCCTGTGAGGTATAAGATGCTTGTTAGCTCCACTGCAAAGCTAAAGTAGACATCTTTGGACACTGAACATGCCTTGGCTAATCAAGTATGTTTGGAGCAAGGAGAAAACTGTCACTTTGATTTTTGGCCAAAGGTCACCACAGCAGAACTGGCAGAACTGCCCATTCTGTTTTCTGCAGGCTGTTTATAGTACACTTTGAGGATGGGCTTCGGGGAGGATCTGTGGTGCCATCAGGGCCACGCGGCTCTGCTGCGTCTGCAAGACTCCGAGCTGCGACTGATGGAGGTCATGAAGAAGTGGATGACTCAGAGGGCCAAGAGTGACCGGGAGTTCTCTGTGCAGCTGCATCAGATGGCAGCAATGGTGGAGAAGCTGGAAGGCCCTCAGCCTGGAGGAGGCTTGGACTACATTAGCCAACTCAATAAGGTACTCGGCCCTGCTGGACTTCATTATGTCATTCTGTAAATGAGCCAGTCAAGCGTGTTAATGTTGATACATGGGCTAATAAGCTAAGAGTAAGCCTAAATCTTTGCTATCACTCTATGGGCTGAGCGCATTTTGCTGTCTCTGGGAGGTTGTTGAAAGGATGCTGAATCAAGAAGCACATTGATTTGGTTCATCTCCAAAGCCTTGAGCAGAATTCTGAGCCAAGATTGTAATAGCTTTGCTGATTATTTAAATCATCACTTTTTTGGTGACTGCTAAGATTTCCATGCTCTCTTCTGCCAATAAATGCTGTTGCAGTCTGTTTCATCAGAGGTTGGGATGTGGGCTTTCCCATGGCTTTTGCTCTGTCCCTGAGGTGGAAAGTTAGCTGTGGCGTCTTGCTTAAAGCACCTGCCAAACGTGTTGGCTCAGTTTCCTCAAACACAACTGGTTTTCTCATTGTAGCTTTTGGGGATTGAAGTAGAAAAATCACCTAGGCTGGGGGAAAGCTTTATTTTTCAGGTAAATCTATGAAAATAGAGTACGCATCTAAGTAATTCTGCTAGTGTGCAAGTTAGCCAAGTATTTGTTGTACAGGATTAATGCCTTTCAGTTTTTTTTTTTTCTTCAAAATAAAGAAACATTTGGCTAACAGATCAATATAAACGTCTAGCTAAGAAAAATGACTAGATATCACTGAACCCTTAGTTAAACAGTACTAAATGCACATAAGAGCATGAGTCTCTCTTGTATGTTATGTTATATACTATTAAAGGCACCATTGGCACAGTTTACCACTTATTGTTGTCAGTTAGCCATTATATGTTTGTAAACTGTTATCTATAACAATGGTTACCGACAAAAAGCATCAAGATGTCTGCTGCTGCTGTTTTAGCTATCTTTGAGATGTAAGCTTCTATTACTTATTAGCAATGTTAGGCTCATAGTTCTGGTGCAAAACTTAATAAGTTAACTTCAAACACCAAACATGTCTGGTCTGATCGACTGCATTTGGGAAAATGGTAAAATTGTGTATATTTGATTATTTGCTCAACTATTGTTTTAAATCTCTCCAACACAGTCATGGAACGTGATGGTGAATGAGACAGAGAATCTCAGTCGAATCTTCCGGAAGCACTCTGAGGATCTGATGGTGGGTCCCCTCAGCAAACTCACACTCCTCATCCGAGACAAGCAGCAGCTAAAGAAAACCTATGGGGAGCAGTGGAACCAACTCAACCAAGAGCTCTGCAGGGTCAGTGCAACACACATGGTTTTCATTCACATAAAACACTGGGCAAAAGTCAGAGACCACCTTTCATTTATTTAATTTCCAGTCATAACCGCCATTAGGTACAACTTGTTTGTTTTTCAGGATATATTTTCTGTGGTGATTAGCTATAAGCATTAAGCTATAGGCTATAAGCATAATCCACTTGCAGAGAGAAGGAGAAAGTCAAAAGAAAATAAGTGAAAAAACAGGAGGTCCCCAAACTCGACTTCCACTCTGAGAGGACAACTCAGGGCCATTGGTCTGAAAGAATGTGTAGCTGTCAGGAAGCCTCACTGAGACCACCTCAGAGTCCAGACTTTAATATCATTGAATGTATTTGGGATTACTAGAACGGTGAAAGGAAGAAAGTGTAACTTCTAAGACTAAACTTTAGAGGTGTGGAAAATATCCTGAAGATTTCTTTGAAAAACTGAAAGCAAGTCTCCTGAAAAAGGAAGCTGTTAAAATAAAAAAAATAATAAAAACAAAGGGTCAGTGAGTAACTTGTATTTAGTGGTTGTTTTGAATGGAAATGAAACACATAATGGGTGGTCTCTGACTTTTGTACTAGTCCGGTATGGCTCAGATAGTTTTGTAATTCATGTGAGAGGTGTATGTGTGCAGTCATTGCATATTGTGCCCATAATGATGTCAAATGGGTTGAAACTAGAAGTTGATAAATCATTTTGCCAATAAAATAGACCAACATTAATCCACGGATTTCACGCTTTTGGTGAATATCCTGCCGATAGAACGCGCCGTTTTTAAGAACCATTTAGAATTAACAGACACGTTTCATATGTGTCTCAATTTTGAGCACTTTAATGATTTCATGCTCTTATTCCACCTTATACAGAGACTACTACTACTAGATGCAGGTTGCCTAGAGGCTGAAATGGTTTAAGTTGTTTCGGTAGCAGATTTTTCATATAAGTCAGGCCCAGTTGAAACTGCAATTTTTATGTATATTGAACTGTTGCTACACTTGAGACTTGTGTGAACTGTGCATGTTTTGCTCATCTAACACGTGACTGACTCATGAAGGGCCTAAAGAACCAGACATGTTGCTGTTGGGAAGGCTCAAACACGTGCAATACATGGGGTTCCCAAGACTTGGATTGCGAAACACAGTCTCAAATGTGGTTGGATGAAAACAGAAATGTGTCTTTGTCAAGTGACATTAAACAACAGGGAAAGTCCTTCATACTGACAGTAAATGTTTAGAAAATAAAACTATAGAAAAGAAACTTAACAGATATGCAGAAGATTGAGGGGACATAGAACATTCTTCAGTTAGGAGAAGGTTTCAGTGGGGCATGACTTTGCTTGGTGCTTCTCTGTCGGGCACTTAAGGCCCATTTTATGACATTTTGGTCAGTCGTTTAAGCCATGATTTCTACCAAGTAAAATGAATTAAGGGTATGGTAAAATGTTTAAAAGCAGTACCCATAAATGTAGACTAGGCTGTTTACGGTTTTAGCCTCTTCTTAGCCTTAGTCTTGACTCGCACTTTAGAGACTCTAGACTCAACACGGACTCACACCTCAGAGTCTTGAGACTCAATTTGGACTCGCACCTCAGAGACTCAGGACTCAACTTGGACTCACGCCTCAGAGACTTGACTTGGACTCACGCCTCAGAGACTCGAGCCTCAACTCTGATTTGCTACTTAGACTCGAGACTCAGCTCGGACTCGCACCTCAGAGACTCGAGGCTCAACTCGGACTCACACCTCAGAGACTCGACTTGGACTCACACCTCAAAGACTTGACTCGGACTGCAGACTCGACTTGCATTTCAGACTTGCACCTCTGAGACTCGACTCGGACTCACACCTCAGAGACTCTAGACACGTCTCGGATTTACACCTCCGAAACTCAAGACTTGGCTCAGACTCACACCCCAGAGGCTTGAGACAGATTAGAGACTCAGACACGCTCACCTGAGGCTTGCCTTGCACATGCACTCCAGAGACTCGAGACTGCAGGTGGCAGGTGTAAAACACTGAAAGCTTGATGGAGCAGTTCTCTTGTTAGTGACTTATATTTGTATCTTTAGACCAGTTATTTCAAGTCAGCGAGGGAAGTGAAGAGATGTGTCTATAATGAAAGTGTAAAAAACAGAATTGGAAGTGAAACAATAGGGCTTGATTTTTGTCATGTGTTATAAAATGTCCATGGTGTGTTAAGTGAAATATTGCCAGATTGTGCAGGTGGAAAGGCAGGCAGGCTTGGAGTTTTTGCACTGGCCTGACTGCAGGCGAGCTGGACATGGGCTTACACGGCCACAGCTTCCATCAACAGTGTTTAATTAGATTCTATTACAATCTGTTCATTTGGAGACCCATTCACCCTGGACTAAAGGTGTGTATGAATCACAGTTGGACAGTTCATTTTATTATAACAGTCGTGCTGCTTAACGCTTGTATGTAAAGATATACAATTATGTAATTTCACACTATGTGCAAAAGTCATAGAAGATCTTTCGTTTATTTAATTTCCAGTCAAAATGGAACAACTTACAGCTTCCACTTTTTGGGAAGACTTGCTTTCAGTTTTTCAAAGAAATCTGCAGGCATATTTTTCCACACTTCCAAAATTCAGTTTTAGAAGTTGTATTTTCTGCTTCTCACAATTTAAATAATCCCAAAATCATTCAATGATGTTAGGGTCTGGACTCTGGAAGTGGTCACTCCATTGTTCTGAAAACACCAGCAGTTTTTGTTTTTGATTTTTGGAAATGTTCTTCATGTTTCCTTTTCTTAGTAAGGGCTTCTTGGCAGCTACGCATCCTTTCAGACCCATAGCGTTGAGTGGTAGAAAGATGGACAGATAACTCAAGCAGTGGAGGACAACTCAACACTTGTGGATAAATTTTTGAATTTCAGTTTTGAAAACTCCTGTTTTTTCACTTCCTTTGACTTCCCCTTTTGCACATGGGTTATCTTATATCTAATCTCTCCTGAAAAATAAATAGGTTGTACTTAATGGCTGTTGTGACTGGAAATGAAGCAAATAAAGGGTGGTCTCTGACTTTCTCACAGTACTCTATGAAAGGCGGTGAGCATAAGACATGCTTAGATGCCTTGATACCAATACTGATACCCTGGTTTTGAGATCGATCATTCAACGTTTTTGAAACCTTCTTTTTAAATTACAAACAGAAATTGGGTGTGGCTTAAACCATGTATGCTGAAAGTGGGTGTATACACAGCCTGTCAGCAGTCTAGATTCTAGATAACAAGCATGTTTATTAGCTCATGGATGCTGATAAGACCAACTACTTAGCTACTGAAATGTGTGACGTGGAGTATTGACATTAAAATAATCATATAGCATTAAAGTTTTAAATTATATAACCAGCTCTAGCATAGCTAAATCATTCATAACACTTATTGTTAGTTCACTTAGTTTATGCCCTTAACTGGAGTGACCTACAATGGTAAGTTAATGTAGCATTAGAAGTCTTTTATGTAGGACTTTTATTAAATCGAGCCCTTGACCTGATCTGTAGGGCTGGACTGTTATCCACCAGCACAATTTCAGTAAGTTTAAAAAGAAAATGCCCACTACTGACTGCAACAGTCCATTAACAAGCTAAAAACAGGGCACTAAGTTATCAGTTGTTAAGGCACTAAGCTAACTGTAACTTCAGTACTGGGCTGATGATGATAATTAAAATTTCCCATTTGTCAGTGGATAACATATCAGATCACACACTCCTACTGGTAACAGTGGATCCAATTAACATGAAAAGGCCTTTTTAGATGATTATTCTTTTATACTAGCCTAGCAACTTCAAGGAACCAATTTCTCAGCTCCTGTGCTCTCCACAGAGGCCTGCTCACGGGAAAAAAGACAAGTTCAGGACAATTATCGCTGGATTTGATTGAGTATGCAGTTTGTGGCTCTGCCTGTCGCTGCCAGCTTCTCTTCTCCAGCTGCTAAGCTGCACTGTCAGAAAAGTTCAGAACTTGGAATAGGTTGGGTTCTGCAGCGAAGTGAACATTTTAAATTATGCAGAAGAACGACCCATAGCTGAGTGATGGGGCATCGATCGGCCCGCTGAGCTGAAGCCAGGGTGGTGCAGCTTCTTTAGGCAGGTTCTTGGTGTACAAACATGAAAAAGGGTCTGTAGATCCATCCTTATCTGCAACTTTAACCACAGCGTCAGCGTGACACTGCCTACATTTTGGAGCCTGAATATTTGTCTCTTTGGAGGCCGCACTTGTGATCTTGAGTGCCTTGAAATCTTGAGAAATGTTCTTGAAATATGTAACAGTAGGACTGAGTTAAGAAAGTTCTCTTAAATTTTTCAAATTATTTAGGACTTTATGTTTGCCTTTCTTTCTGTGTATCAACACTTTGGTGAAAAGTTAAATTTACAGTTAAATGCCCATTTACTCCATATGTGGTCAGTCAGCCAAAATATGTTTGGCATCAGACGTTTACTCACTTTCTGTCGGACTTTATATCGATACTTTCAATTCATGCTGAAGCTTATAAACAACATGTCTGCCTGTAGAGATGCCGTCAACCTACCGCTGCAGTCTCATCAATAATGCTAGCGCTAACCCCGTGATCTCTTTACAACAGTCACTAAACTATTTAAACCCCTAGACAGTAATGTAGCTGCCTCCCCTGATCTATGCAATTCTTTCCTACAGTTCTTCAAAACAAAAATTGCTAAGATCAGTAGCTCTTTAGTGCCCTTCTCAGCTAGTACACTTTCCTCTGTGAACTCCAATCTACCTCATTGGTACCTCATTGTCTCCTTTTCTTTCTGCTTTTATAACTGTCGATTCTTCTCTCATTGCTGATATTCTTACAGCCTTTAAAGCTACCACCTGCTCTCTTGATCCCCTACCAACCATTTTAACTAAAGCCTGTCTACCTGCTCTGGGCCCAGATTCACAAAAGTGTCTTAAGAATAAAATCTTCTCTAATGTGCATTTTTTTACTCCATATTTAAGAAAGAAGTTA